TCGTGACTTTGATTATCAGGAGATACAGTTCTTTTTTGATTGGACACCAGTCAGTAACTACGGTAATGCGTGCGTCTAGTCCTATCTTTGCAGCAGACTGAATTCTATTGTCTGTCAGGTTTGCAATGTGGACACCATGATGGGTGGCTCTCTATCCCGATGTGCTGTGGAATGTTGATATTAGACGGTTGTACACATTCGTGCTTGTTGGCATTCACCAGTCAATAAGCAAGGCGTATCCGCAACCTTGAAGCAACTCATGTTCCTTCTGAAACTCGAACCAGCGTCATCCAGTGTTGCAGTCGGAGGCGTTACCACTGAGCTATGCAGGCTGACGATCGACCTTCTATAGGACTGCATTGGATATTTTTGATAGCTAACTAGTCTGGAGGTCAACCGCAAGTCTAAATAGCACAATAGCAACGTGTCTCTGACTTCAGCACTGGGCGACGCGGGCTCGAATCTCGAGAAGGAGACGGGTTACTTCAAGGTTGCAGATACGCCTTACTGACTGACTGACTGACAAAAGAGTGCCAACTAACATGAAAACTAGGTCTAGACAGGGCTTCCTATGGCCGATTGCCTCCAACCATCTAATACATACAATTCTACTTATTATTCATGCCGAATTCAAACAAGTTCATTTCATTGAAAAGAACAAGAAGCTCAGCAAAGATGACGATCTTTTCGGCGATTTCAATCTCAAAAGCAGCTATACAATCGCATTTATATAGATTAGTTTACATGGATACAATTCTTATTTGTTTAATTCCACATAGTAACGAAGGTGATATGAAAGTTTGAAGATACGAATATAGATTGATTACAAGGGGCAAGATTGCATAGGATCAGAAAACAGTTACAACGTATGCAAAATTAATATTTGATAACTGGAGAAATAATTTTAAAGGTGAATAAAAGGTGATAATTATTTTCAACTTGATATGAATTACAAGAGGCTTAGAGACGCAGGGATGCAACGAATTACAGGTGTGAATAAAATGAGCATGGAAACAAATTGAAATCAAAATGTTCACCTTGAAATGAAAGTTAGGAGGTGTTAATATAGATTACAAGAGGCATAGAAACAAAAAATTACACAGGATTAGAATATAACTGTAAAGTGGTTATTCTAAACGGATTACAAGTGTGATCAGGAGGAGCATGGAAACAAACTTAAAATAACTAATTTTATAACTGAAGAATAGGATGAATTGAATGAAGGCAAAGAGAGAAAATTACACACACAGATAATAAAACTAAAAATAACCAAAAACAAAACTGAAGGATAAGGGAACATACCTAACTAGGTCCACTGTAGTTGTAAAGGCTAGACTAGTTTCTTTGAACACATAGCTCCGGCTTTTCGATGCATATGGCAAGAGCTTCCACAGTATAAAGAAGTTGGATACACACTGTCTTTGGTAGATTTTTGTTTACTTTGTAAATGACTCTCAATAAATGATGAGTCAGTTGAGATTCTGTTACAGGTATTGACGAGGTGTCCAGTTATTATTGTTGTTATTATTAGGAGCAATAATTTGTGCTCGAAACGTTATCAGTTAATATTGCTGTACAACACTGTGTAATTTATCAAAATAAAATCTTATCTATGATGGAGTTATACTCTACCACAGTACTCAAGTTTTGTTGTAATTCAATGTAAAACAATTATCACCTTTTATTCACCTTTAAAAAACTGTTTCTCCAGTTATCAAATAATAATTTTTCATACATTGTAACGGTTTTCTAATCCTATGCAATCTTCTCTCTAAGCCTCTTGTAATCTATATCACCTTCATTACTATGTGGAATTATATAAATAGATAATAATTGTATCCATGTAAACTAATCTATATAAATGCGACTGTACAACTGGTTTTGAGGATGAAATCACCGAAAAGACAGATATCTTTGCTGAACTTCTTGTTCTTTTCATTCTAATGTTCCGATGGATATTTTCCACGATTGAAAAATGTGTCGGTGGCACGGTGGTTAGGACTCTCACCGACCATGCACATGTTCCGAGGTTCGATCCCCTACCGAGGCACACCTGATATCTATGGTCAGCCTGCAAAATTTAGGGTACCGATATCACATGCTGAAAATCCTATACTTGTAGCAAACATACGGTGTGGAATCAAGTTGTAATCAAAATTAAAAAAAATAAACAAATAAATACTAAGACCTACGCTGAAAATGTTGTCTAGTATGACAACAAAAAAAGCTCCGCAGTTAACTTGACCAGCTCAGAGAACACAACTAAATTAAAATCACCTACTTTATCTATCTAAACACCTTCCCATTTTTTCGATTACATATAATCGCATTTTGTTTGTTTACAGTGGGACCTTTACCTTGGCGGCCTGTTCGAATTTTTGGGCCAGCTACTATAATATCTACATTTTGCATCCAGTCTACTGTTTACCAACATTTATTTATCACCTAAATATGAATTCTAACAGAATCATTTACTCTCGTAACTTTATTAATCATTTAAGACCAAATGACTTTCATATTCCAAAGAAACCAAGGAGGAAACATCGTAGTGGTTGGCAGAGAGCTCTCAAACGTACACCAATACACTTAACTACGGTCCCCGTCATAATGAACACAAACTGCCGCTCTCTGTCAAACAAGATAATGTACCTACAATCCTTGATGTCCACTGAAACTTATCATAACTCCGCCATAATCACATTACAAGAAACGTGGTTACATGAACTGTATGATGACAACCTTATCTCACTAAAGGACTTTATTTTATTTCGTCAAGACCGTCAATGTTGTAATAAGAAAAATGGTGGTGGCGTTGCAACTTTTATTCACTCCAAATGGTCTGTTTCTAATAACGTCTGCTTCACCTTCTCAAATGACTTCATTGACTGTATTACTGTCAAATGTCGCCCCAAACACCTCCCCAAATATAAACAATTCTATATTACAAACATGTACATTTCTCCTAGTTGCTCTCCATCTGATCTATCTAATTTTGCTGATGAATTCACCATGTTTGCTGCTGCCAACTTCGACAACTCGCTATCCGTTATTACTGGAGACTTCAACACCTCAGATTGCTCCTTTCTTGAAGCACTTCGTCACAAAAACATAGTCAAATTTCCCATTCGACTTGACAAAACACTCGATCTAGTTTTTACTAATGACGAAGGAGTATATGAAACACGTAGATGTTCACCGATACTTAACTCCGATCACTGCATTGTTCGCGTTTTACCAAAATATACAGCAAAACACATATAAAAGTCTTCTCACACCTGTCTATGAAAGCACAACAAAGATGCTACACATTTGACAACTTACTCAACCTAAGATGCATGTTAAAAAATACTAACTGGGATTTACTCTATGAAAGTACATTAGATGACTCAATCACCAATATAACGGATTATCTCAAGTTCTGCCTCGACATATGCTGTCCCAAACAAACACTATTCAAACGCCTCGACCGCTTCTCGTCTCCTCATCTCAAACAACTTCACAGGTAAAAAGAAACATTTCAGGATTTCATCATGAGCTGACATTGGTTAGAGAACCATTGGAAAACCTGGGATTACTGGACAGCTGTTTCGTCCTAGTTTGGGACTCTTCATCAGTACGCACCCACCGGATTCGAACCCAGGACCTTCCGGTTACAGGCGAGCTCGTATACTAACTAATTTCAGCTCATGATGAAATCCTGAAACAAATCAAATCCCTACAAACCATCACTTGAAAAAGAAACATTATATAAACTCAAAGATAAGTTAGGACTTAAAAACATTAATGCTCAAATCAAATCTGAAATCAAAAATCTTAATGCTATCTATAACCAAACACTTTTATCATGCAAATCTCCTGTCAGCATGTGGAAACTTTTCAATGAAACTACTGGCAATAGTAAGCGATGTAATGTTTTTCCCTCTTATGATGTTAATGCTCTTAATCAGTTTTTTATATGCTCTCCTTCTACTATAACCACTTCTAACGTTACTAACCTTGTAGCTGATAACTTCCAGGACTTCAACACTCTCGATGTTTTAAAATGTCTTAAAACTCTTAAGCCCTCATATAGTCTTGGCCCTGATGGTATACCTGCATATGTTCTAAAACAATGTGCAGATGCTTTATGTTCTCCTCTAACTAATATCCTAAACGCTTCTTTCTCCAAAACCGTTGTACCTGTTCCATGGAAAGACATTAAAATAGTCCCTGTCCCTAAACCTGGCAATAGCAAGAACGTGAAGTTCAGACCCATTGTCATCACTTCCCGCTTCTAAAGTTTATGGAAAAACTAGTACTTCTTAAACTCAAACCCTCCCTTAAAAGCTTCGAAGACCCCAAACAATTTGCCTACAGACAGGATAGGAGTACTTTAGATGCTGCAGCCGTCTTACACAATAGTATCGTCTCATCACTAGATAAAGGTGCCAAATACGTCCACTGCACGTTTCTCGACTTCACTTCTGCTTTCAACTCTGTACCTAGATGTCTCTTGCTAAATGAGCTCTCTATGACACAAACTGAGTCCTGGGTCACTAACTGGTTGCATTCCTACTTTTCAAACAGAATGCAGTATACCGTATACACTCTGTTTAATTTTGGCTTTGCTACCGACATGCTAATATGTTGTTGTCGAAACTAGCTGAGATTACCCTTGATCTATGCAGAATTTTATTTTATTGTTAATTTACTAACTGGATGCAATACTGTAGTAAAATGCTGAGAATTCCATTCTGTATAGCAAACTACAGTTTTGGAATAAACCTATTATTATTATTATTATTATTATTATTACATCATATAACCTGTAGGTGTCATATGACCATTTTTCAAACCAAACAAGTAGGCAGCCGGATTCAACAAAAACTGTTGAGTGCTTCAAACATGAAGGATAACTTGTTACTCTAATGTTATACATGCGCAACGTCATTCATATTTCTCAACTAAGAAAATCAGTGCCTTTTACTCTGGAGTAAATATGAATTAAAAAAACACAACTTATGACAAGCAATACATTATTCCCTATTCTAATTATCGATCCAGTTTATGAAGATATAAATAGCTTTGCTAAAGACTATGACTATGATTTACGCGGTGTCCCCCTATCAAAATGGAAGCTAATTCTCGCTAATCCACTTGCTTATCTAAAGTATTACTTGGAAAGCTATTCACTGCTCCTATATCTGTTGCCTATCATACTATTTATCGCCTATTATACTTCACTAAGTCTATTCCAACTAATCAGTCTTCTATATTATAGAATAAAGATTATAAGACACTGGCGAAAAGCTAAACGTGAACAGTACTCAAAATGGAAGCAGAGATTACGCTGAAAATGTCTAGAACACATGATGGTTTTGGACTAGTTAATTATCAAGCATACACCGACTGGTATAAATTAAATGCTGACAATAAGCCGAGCAAACTATCTACCCTACCCCTGAACTTACCCGAATATGAATGTCTACGTTTTGCCCTGGATAGTCAGTGGCCATATTTTTCTGCTTTACAAACTCTACAAAATGATGTCCACTGTTATTATGATCCAGAAGTGGTAGAAGGCAAAGCTGAAATGAAGACCCATATGCACCACAACAAAGAAAAGAACGATTGAAACGCTTGATTGCTCAACGGAAAGAACGTATTAAAGCAGGAATTGAAGATCCCACGTCTGATGAAGAAGATTTAATTGTCCCCAAACTACCGTGTTTACCATATCGGCTGAAAAGATCACCATCACCGACAGAAGAGGAAGAAGCAGAAGGAGGATTTGAAAGTTCATCAGAATCCTCTGAAGAACTCGATCTTATAGATTTACAAGCACTTGAAGATCAAGGTTGGATAGAAGAGTATAAGTGGCGAGTACGCACCGCTTTAGCACAATCAAGAAAACATGAAAGAAGAAGACATTATCCATCTGTAGCATGGGCATTCTCTGCAAAATATGGTGAAGAACCAGACAGAAATGATGATGATGATGATGATAATAAACACAGAAAGACCAGAAACAGGGATTTAACAAAGAGAGAAAGAAAACCTCCTAGAGGTATTGACGATAAAAAAGAAAGTTCAGCGGGAAAACAAAAAAATTTATTTTCATCTCAGTCGAATAAAACCTTGGACAGCTCAGTTGGTGCATTTCTTGATCATGATCAGAATTTGTATGCATTACAAAGACTGGCTAAAAAGCGTAGCCTGAAGAAAATGTCAATTCGATTATGTACACCGTTATACCAGACAGACACTGAAAAGGAATCAATAATTAAAAATTCAAATTTATCACGTTTACAGTCAGCATCGAACAGACGAAGTGGCTCACTAACATCCAGATATCCGTATGCAAATCAACGCGGGAAAAGTAGTGTGTTAGAAGAATTAAGAAGGCTAAGAGAAACCTATTGTGAAACAGACACTGATGAAGGCTAAAGCCCGCTAGGAAGACATTATTATTATTATTATTATCGATTTTGTCAAAAATCTTGGCAGAAAGGAATACTTTAAACTGAAGTTAAAAGAAATATACATTTACAGGGATTCACAACTATACCTGGTTGTGACTGTTGACTGATTCATTGTCGCAAATTATACTACTCAAGTGTTTAGTAAGTAATATATAATGCTAAAGAAGAAATTCTGGATTGTATTACTGAGAAAAATATGCCTAATGTTACTTATCAATGTATTATGTTACGCTTCTGAGTTCGAAAATAATTAAAATGAATGGATTGATCGCTGAAGCAATCTTAGAACGGATACAAAAGGCTATTTTCACATAGACCAGTTTACGCTGTCTCTGGCTCAGTAGATGTGATATCCGGCTGGCTATTGACCAATGAACGTGTGAACTGGACAGAAGTCCACTCTGTCCCCATTTATGGCTCTGAGACCTAGCCTTTGAGAGTGGAAGACATGAAAACCCTGGCCAGCTGTCTTTCATCATAGGTGCCTACGCTCTATCTCCCGTGTCAAGTGATATAATAAGGTGAGCAATATTGAGGTTAGGCGTCGGTCGAGTGCTAGGTAAGGAGGAAAGCAGTAAACGAGGTTGTGAAGTTATATGCGTTTCGCATGCCTACCCACGGCATTACTCAACGGGTGACGTTACCTGGCTGGTATAGGATCAGGTTGGAAAGGAGTTAGCTAGTGGTGGTCAAACAAAAACATGGCCGCATCAGTCAATGAAATCCACAACAGTTAGCTTAATCCAGCCAGCCAGTCACGTAAGAGGTGTAGACTTCCTGTCTTGTTGGGGTCCTCAGGACGGTAAAAACCAATGAAGGCTGGAAATAATTGGTGATATGGCTCAAAGTCGTTCTCACTGATGGCTGGTGCAAAATGCATTCACTCTTTGTGATGTGTCATGTCCAATAAAATTCTTTTGTCCTTCCATATTACTATTCTTCATTCCTCACTTAAACTTCCGTTTATTATTTCCCTCTCTTTAGTCTCTTCTCTTGGGCTGTGTATTACATAGAGGGAGTGTGGCAACTCGAACTGCCGCACATCTGTGTAGAGTTCTACGTTGAAACCAGTTAGTTATATGCAGGTCAATACTAACTGCTCCATCTTGTCTATATAGGACATAAAGTTGACACTAATAATACGTTTAAAGTTATTTATCTTATATCATCCAGCCTTTTGCAAGCTCTAAGAGTACGCAATTGTCGTACATAGAAGGCAGTCAGAATACATCTGAAATTTGTGCAGCTGGCTGCCTTCCTCGCAATGACCGTTTACAACAGTTTGAATAAAGTCATACAAATGATTATCCTCTATCTTTGCAACTGTCGTTTGAAGTTGCTGATATTCTACTATGATTACTATTCTAGCTGATTCAGTGAACTTATTTGTATCTTGATGTTCTTACGTGATACGCTCTTCTTCCTGCAATCAAGGATGTGAACTGATGGAGGGTCCCCAACTAGGACGAAACATATGTCGAGTACTTCCTGTTTCCCAATTGTACTACAACGGATTTTGGTTTCTCAAGTGGAGAGAGAAAGTTTCGACTGTGCACTAGTTAGTAACTAGTGTAATATGCCTAGTCCATGGTGGAGGTGCAGACTGCATTCTACCGTCAGTCAAGTTTGCAATGTGACCACCACACTAGGTGGCTCGCCACATCGCGATGCACTGTAAATTTGTTGATATTAGATGATTGAAGGCTATTGGCGAGAAGCCTTCGACCTAGGTTTCGTTCCAGATGGCACTCACCAGTCACTCAAGAAAGCGTATCTGCGAACTTGAGGGAACCCATGTCCCTTCTGACATTCAAATCCGTGTCACCCAACGCAAACGTGACTGATAGAATTCAGTCTGCACCATGGAAGGAACTAGACACATTACATTAGTTAGTATCTAGTGTCCGATCCAAGCATCCATAGTGTTTTTAATGGTTGTGTAACCGATATCAATCCATGATCAAACTTGAAGTAAATCAATCATCTACAAACTAATACATGGGAATTAATCTGACTTTCACTAGTGACCAGTGACAGGAGTTCTAATGAAAAGTCATGACCAGTGAGTCAACTGAGTCAGGTGTGAGGATAAATACTCGCCGATGATCTCGGCTGGCGGTTATGTTGAAATCGAGAACTAGCAGGAGTTAAAATTCATGGGGTTTTAAATTCTAGAGTAAGTGGTCAGATAGCCTCCTCTCGTATCCTGAAGGTCCTAGGTTAGATCCCCGGTGCGGTCGTTCTCCTCAAGAGTCTCTAACTATGACGAGACGCCTGGTGGTTTTCAGTGATCCTTTATTATCATAATTATTATTCCTTCGATTTTTAAGTGGTACATAAGCCTTCAACAACATATCCTCATTTAATCCCGCTTTCTCAAGCCTGTGTTAACTGGTTCCATGATCATCTATACTCTATCCTCTCCTCATTACACGTTCTCCCCCGTGTCACACTCAGAACAAAACTCAACTCGTCATTCACCATCTGGGTTCCACTCGATAGCTCAGTTTCCGATGTCACTCAACGGTCTTCTCAGAGTGTGTCCTATCCATCTCTATTTGTTAGTCAATAGGTTCGTGGTTGGTTCGTTCCCAGGCTTCCTTCTTCCTAATGCTTTCTGGCCATTTTATCTTCGATCTGTAATGAAGGCAGCTGTTTTTGAATCGGTATCAATCTGTAATCAAATTTAAAACAAATTAAATCTTCAGAAAAAAGAACTGTTGAATATTATTGATTTTTATCATACATTTGGTTCCCTTGAAAAATTTCGATAGCGAAGGAAAAACCAGATTTGAAGTTATTATGTACTCGTCGCCAAATTATTGTTATGTACTGGTCGAGAATTTAATAGTTCTGACGCAAGAAAGACAGAAATCAGAAACCACTAGGTTTGCGATGATACTTCTATTTTCTAAACACAAGGAGAATCAATGTCACACAAGAGTGTGAGAGCAAAAATATATATGAATGTCCGAACAAGTGTGTCAACACAAGTGTGAGAGCGAATATTCAAAATGAACAAATCAATAGACAGTCTTAACATGATTGGCTATTTATAATGGAATATCGATCCATATATACATAGCAAAATATATCAAACTGTCAAACAAACACACATATTATATAGATACATATATCACCTCCCCTTTTGAGAAGAATTTATATGGATACATGTCACCAAGAACAGACTGTCAAACAAACACACATATTATATGGATATATATATCAGTAGTATAAAATGATCTCATCATTCTATTTCACAGGTTTTCATCAGCTGCAACAGCTACTGAACTGTAATCTATTCATATTATTAATTCGACATAATTTAAACACTACTTTTGTTAATATCCCTAATTATTTTGTGGTGGTGTGATACAGACAATGTGTGCTCCAACAGAGTATTATTCTCACATATTTCCACAGTTCAATACTGTGTTAGCTACAGAACATTATGCATTTTAATATTCTGTTTCATGTCGTTTAGTGTACGCCAAAATCACACGCTCAGTGATTGGTTGTCGAATATACACTGTAGATATATAAACAGTGGTTTCATTATTGAAAAAAATACCTTGGCTTCCGTGTCTTGCCTTGTGCTATTACACTTTCATTATTATGGATGCATTTAACTGTAGAAACTGACGACGAGAAAGTTATCGAAAAGAATATTCTTAGTTCAGTAATAAGTCTTTTGAAATTTCTAGTAGGCATTTTTCATCGGCTATATACTATTAGGTAGAGGCAATCAGCCACAGGAAGCCATGTCAAGACCTTGATTTTGTGCTAGTCAGCATTCACCAGTCAGTCGGTAACGCGTGTATCTGAGACTTAGACGTGATATCCGGCTGGCTATCGACTAAAGCGCGGGTGTACTGCTCAGCACAGTTCACTCCATCCTCCTTTATGGCTGTGAGCGATACCTGGCCATTGAGAGTGGAAGACATGAAAAACCTGGCCAGCTGTCTTTCATCATAGGTGCCTACGCTCTATCTCCCGTGTCAAGTGATATAATAAGGTGAGCAATATTGAGGTTAGGTGTCGGTCGAGTGCTAGGTAAGGAGCGTAAATCAATCTACGAGGCTGTGAAATTACATCGACTGGGATGGTTAGGACATGTGTTATGCTATCATTGTGTGTAAACTATTAAAATATAATTATACTTTATTTCATGTGTTATGCCTTCCTCGACAACGGGCAATGTTAGCTGACTGACATAGGATCAGGTTGGGAAAGGGATGGCGGTAGTCAAACAAAAACATGGCCGCATCAGTCAATGAAATCCACAACGGTTAGTCTCAGCCAGCCAGCCACGTAGGAAGGTGTAGACTTCCTGTCCTCTTGGGGTCCTCGGAACGGTAAACACCAATGAAGGCTGGAAATAATTGGTGATATGGCTCAAAATCGTTGTTCTCAATCGCTGGCGCAGATGCATCCACTCCTTGTCGATTATAATTCCCGGTGAAACTATATTATTCTTCGTCATTACTATTCCTTTTGCCTCATACCTCTGTTCACTGTGTCTATTTTGCGTTTTTTTTACTTTCTTCTCTTGCTTTGGGTGATACATGGAGTGAAGTGTGGCGACTTGAACAGCTGCACATCGGTGCAAACTTCTTTCTTGAAAAAAGACAGACAGACAGACACCAAAGCGTATCTGCAACCTTGAAGGAACTCAAGCCTACACCGAGATTCAAACCCGCATCACTACTCAGTGCTGCAGTCAAAAACATTACCATTGAGCAATTCAGGTCCACAATTGCCCATCAGTAAGAGGGTATTGGATATTTTGATTGGACTATAGCCAATAGCTAGCATGGTGGTCATATAACGAACTCACCTGGCGATAGAATTCAGTCTGCACCAACATCAGGGACTAAACACACACTACACTATTCAAGTGTTGGTTTGTAGGGAATTGATTAGTTACACGATTTCATCATGAGCTGACATTAGTTAGAGAACCATTGGAAAACCTGCCGGGGAGTACTGAACAGCTGTTTCCCCCGTCCTAGTGTGGGAATCGTCATCAGTACTCACCTACCGACAGGGTTCGAACCCAGGACCTTCTGCTTTCAGGGCGAGCTCGTATATCATTAAGTCACTGGGAACCGATCGAATGGCCAGTGCATGAATTCTAACTTCTGCCAATTCACGACATAGCGTGACCCCTAGTCAATGTTTTCGGCGAGTATTTGTCCTTACACGCAACCTCCTGCACCCTACTGGTCACTACTTCTCACTAGAACCCCAGGTAACTACCTACCTGAATACAGCAAGTCCACACATAGGGCAACACACTACACTAGTGTTACTAACACGTTTTCAATCAAAATATTATTAGGTATTGTAAATCTGTCCAGAGAACACGCTATACCAACACTAAGCACTAAACAATAGGACACACACACACACATAAACATGCACAAACAAACATACTCCAATAAAAATAATTACACAAATCAGTCAGTCTCAGTTATTAGATGTGTAAATTTATCACAAAGAATACAGTGAGAGAGAGAGAGAAAAGAAAACAGCTGTTTAAAAAATTCAAGTATATAAAAAAAACAACTAGGATATACACACACTTGAGCAGTCATCATCAGGGACAAGATGATAAGATAACTACAAGAAATTTTAAAAAATGTAACATTTTACATAGGAATCTATTGTTCGTTTGCTTTTTGTCTTTTTTTCTTGAGGAATAAAACAGTTGTCTCTGTGTAAAGACTGAAGGCGAAATATCAAAAAAAGGGGGAGAGGGATTACAAAAAAAACAGAACAGACAGGTCACATATTATTATTATTCTGCTTAGTGCTATCGACTAAGGTATAAAAGTCATTCATACCGAATATCAAAGATAACTGAGCTAATTTTGAACGGGTAATTTTAACACCACCACCACCACCACCATTCCCACCGCAGCCGCCGACGCCACCTGAATAATTGACAAGTAGACGATTTATTCGACGTCTAAGAAATTGACTATAACTTCGAAAACTAGCATGTATTGAATACAATTGTCGCCATTCAGTATGTTCAATCTGTTCATGATAACTTTGTGCTTGTGACTGTTCATTACAGTTACTGCTATTACGACTAGTAGGAGTGATGGTAGTATTCGTGAACACTGACTGTTGACATGATTGTTTTATTATCCATCTCCCGGTTAATAAAGCTCGATGAAATTGATGTGCACAAGTTAACATACCGCGTAGAATTTGATTGAAATCATTATCGCAGGCATCTAATAAACAACTGTGAAAAGAAAAAATAATCAAAGGCATAAATACAACGATAAGGATAGAGAGATAAGAATATATTTGATGAATAAGGTCATTTCACAAGTAGACTACCGATCTAAACTAACTAACTGACTAACTAACTAACCACGTTAAGATACATCATCAGGCGATACGCATTTATATAACAAGGTAGATGTCGTCAATTGAACTCAAATCTTTCATATACCAGACACTCAGAGCCACACTTATCACATGAGGCATGATGATGATACTGCCCAGTTAACCGGGGCTGAAGTAGGTGGAGCGGTACTCCACCACCCCATGATCCGTTGTTAGCTGCAAACCAAGATGATAGACCAATAAACCACATCTCTACTACAAGAGAATGATGTCAACTTAGCGGCATTCACCAAGGTGAATTGAATTTTTCACTCGCCTACAAAGAAATGTAATGCAGATTCATGTCCTACCCCTCCTCATATGCCAAGATATTTTGACGACAACTTCTGAAATACTAGTTTAGTGGCTATCGACCAGAGGGCGTGTGTACTGCTCAGCAGTCCGCTCCATCTTCCTTTATGACTGTGAGACTTGGCCATTGCCTCCAATCTATCTCTCATGTTTGATGGTGGTATAATAGGATGAGCAATATTCACGTTAGGCGTCGAGTGCTAAGTAAAAGGGGAAATCAATCGACGAGGCTGTGATGTTACATTGACTGAAATAGTTGAGACATGTGTTACGCACGCCTGTTTAGTCATCGCCTTCCTCGAAAACGGGCAATGTTAGCTGACTGACATAGGATCAGGTTGGAAAGGAGTTAGCTAGTGGTGGTCAAACCAAAACATGGCTTCATCAGTCAATGAAATCCACAACAGTTAGCTCAAGCCAGCCAGCCAGCCAGGCACGTAGGAAGATGTAGACTTCCTGTCTTGTTCGGGTTCTCAGGACGGTAAACACCAATGAAGGCTGGAGACAATCGTTGAAATGGCTGGCTCAAAATCGTTTTCAATGGCTGGCGCAGATGCATCCACTCCTTGTGACTTATAGTACCCAATAGAACTATATTGTTCTTCGTTATCACTATTCTTGTTTTCTCATATCCCTGTCTACTGTCTCTATTTTGAATTTCTTCTACTTTCTTCTCTTGCTTTGTGTACTACACGGGGGGAATGCGGTGACTTGAACTGGTGCACATTGGTGCAAAGTTCTATGTTGAAAACAGCCAGACAGACAGACTAGTTTAGCTAGTTTCTAAACGCATCAACTAAGGCTCATATAGTCTATGAATACATAAGTGATTTTTATTCCATGCTTTGAACATCAGTCATTAGATGTGTGATCCATCAATGCGTATAGTGAACTCAAGACAAGCGGTACTTTAAAGCAGGTGAATAGCATTTCCAACTATGCTGGATTCATGTTCTGTAAAGAGTGGACAGCACAAAACGAATTCCAGGATCTGCACAGTTTGTTTCAGCGAAAACAGTTTTGAACTGCGAAACCTCGGAAAATGCAAGTGGCACACTACCAACCTAATTTATAGTAAAACACTTGATGTTGTTATGCATCACTATATAGATATGAGAGCAGCTTTCAAAATTATCTATGAAGACAGTCAGGGAGACATATTGAAACACGTTGAAGCGATAGATATCCCGCACTTATTTATACAAAAATAATTTACTATTACCCTAAACCAACTACCTTGGTAATCCTTATCTAATTATATTACCAAAATTAGTGTTAATGATTATTTTTCTCAATTTTAAGTTCAGATTATGCGATTTGTAAGGGTTTGAATTTATTTCGACTACTGGATTTCGTCATGAACTAAAATCAGTTAGAGAATGAGTGAAAGCCAATGACAATTGGTTAGTTGTCTCGTCCTAAATCAGAACTCTTCATCGGTTCCCACCCACAACCCCACTGTCAGGGATCAAACCTGGGACATTCAGGTGAAGAGATCAAGTTCGTTAACCATGCATGCTAACTGGATCGGAATTCAGTGAACTGTGAATTCTAACTTCTGTCAATTCGTGATATTAGTACTACCATCCACCAATGCCATCTATGACCATATGGTGAGACCTAATAGCGGCCACTTCTAAATACCACTTCTGCACAGCTATCCAGTGACCGCCAATTAGCTGAGAATCTATATAAGTGTAAAACTTGGGCACTGTGGTAGAGTATAACTCCATTATGGATAAGATTTTATTTTGATAAATCACACAGTGTTGTTATATAGTAGTAATATTAACTGATGACCACGTTTCGAGCACAAACTATTGCCACTCATAATCATATCAAGTCACTCACTCACACAACTTTTTTCTTTCATACATGAGTGTAATTGATGATTAGACAGTTGAATAAAAATCAACCAATACAGGATAATGTACATTCAGAAATAACAATATGAGTGTTATTGATCAATTACAATCAGATGGGAAATAAGAACTAGTACTAATAACATAAATAAGACAGAATATAAGTCATCTAATGTTATACCATATAAGGAGGGGACACCTGAGACCTTACGTAGGATTCTTAATGAAGCAGGAATTAAGGTGGCATTCAAACCTACAAACTCACTCAGAGTCAAGCTATGCAGGCTAAAAGATCCGGTGAACCCAATTAAACAAAATATAATTTACGAAATACCTTGTAATGACTGTGAGTTAGGTCAACTACATAGGTCAAACTAGTAGATCAGGAGTAGTTAGATTATCAGAACATACGGGTTTATCTAAGGTAAGAATGGTTGACCCCGAGAAGATCAGTAATTTAGAAAAAAGCTCAGCAATTGCACCGCATGCAATAACACACAACCATACGATAGGGTAGGAGAGGGTTAAAATTCTAAGAAGTAAAATAGGTACGTAGAGAGTGAGAGAGATTAATTACTGAATCCTTGTTCATCGAGTCTATACCCAACACATGCAACAGAAATGACTCAATGCAAATACCAGAGATATGCATGGAAGATATTATTACCACCAGTCAGTCAGTCAAATCAGAGGAGGATAATAAATAATCTTAAAATTCTATTTCAGTTCAATTCACGTACATCATAACATTCTAACAAGTTACTTATTTATTTTGACTATAAAAACACTCGTCTTATTTCCCATCTGATTGTAATTGATCAGTATCACTCATATATAGGCGGCCTGCTTAAATCATTGGGCTACCGAAATTACTTTCCTCCAAAATGCTTAATTTCATCTGGATTTATCATTGTTTTAATCGTCCAGTTATATCAAATGACCTATACACAAACTTGCGCGATGATTTAACTTGTTCCCAAGTAAACGCTGTACAATTCTTCAACGAAATGAAGATATACTTCAGATTATTACTTTACATGTCAATCCTGTGCGAAGAAAAAGTACTTTGGAACTGAATACGCTGAAAATTTTTGTACCGTATACTAGAATACTGTCTTAAATAAAGCTTTACCATTATTATTATTATTATTATTATTATATTATTATTATTATTATTATTATTATGGTTATTTCTGAATGTACATTATCCTATATTGGTTGATTTTTATTCAAATGTCTAATCATCAATTTCACTCATGTATATAAATGAAGTGAGAAAAAGTTGCGTGAGTGAGTGACTTGATATAATTATGAGTGGCAATAGTTTGTGCTCGAAACGTGGTCATCAGTTAATAATACTACTATATAACAACACTGTGTGATTTATCAAAATAAAATCTTATCTGTAATGGAGTTAGCTGAATCGATATTTACATGGGTTTTTGTAGTAATTTGGATTAATCTCAAAATGTAGATTTTACTTCGCGTCACGAACCTACATCGATCAGTTAGCGACCACTTAAAACTCTAACTAATGTTAGTTCACGACGAAATATATCCACGTAGAAATCTAGGTGTCAATTTAGCTTTAAATAACAGTTTACACTTAGTCCCGAAATACCATAAAATTAAGTAAAAGACAACAACAAGTAGCGTCGGTGCTTCAATGCTGGTAGTGTGCTAGCTGCTAACCACGCTTCACGTGGTCCAAGATTCAGTTTCCGGCTGATGGTACTCTCAAACTTCCTTTAGCCGGGTAGTAATCCCAATTTGGACAGGAGGCTAGCTCTCAGTATCCATTCTGCAAAATAGAACACAACACCAATGCTGTAGAAACATCAAAATTCAAGCTTAAAGCCTATTTATTATTTACTACTGTTCCCTTTGGGTTCTGAGTGGAACATACCGCTTGAACAACACACCTTCACCTTTTTCTGTTTTCTGCTGTCCTTTATAGCCGGCCCTAGGATTGGCTTTAAGCTCTCATCTCCTCTTCACACGATCCCCTCAGTGTCACCCTAGGGCGACCCACTCGTCATTTCCCACTGGGATTCCACTCGAACGATGGTCTGCAATACACGCGATGTCATTCGACGGCCTCCTCCATGTATATCCGATCCATCTCCATTTTCTCCTACATATTTGTTGAGCAATCGGTTCTTGGTTGGTTTGTTCCACTGCGGAGTTTCTCGTTGTGAATTCTTTCTGACCGACTGAACATTTAATCTTCAGTATGGAGCCAGTCAGCGAAGTGGGCAGCTGTTGATAAAAGTCTGCAACAGCCTGTTGGAAATGATTTTCGTGACGCGCAGTGCCAGTTTCTGACGCATATAAAAGTGACTTGAAATTTGCGTTGAAAATTCGAATCTTGTCCTTTATGCTGACTGAGTGAACCGATTTCAGAGTGTTGAAGGCGTATCTTACCTTTCCGATTTTGGCCGGCTGGTTTTCATACCTTCATCCATTCCGACTGCTTGTGGTTGAAGCCATGCTTCCTTGATGAATAAGTGAAAGCAGGAAGTAACCTGTGTCAAGTCTCTCCCATTGATGGTGATTGGCGCTGGTTGCTGTTGTTGTTGTTGTTGTTGCTGCTGGTTGGCTATTTTCATCACCTCCGTCTTCTCTATTTTCACCATGCAGTTTTGTCTTTGCTCCCTGCTTCTTCAGTCAGTTTGTTGATTTTCACCTGCCTGCCTGTCTGTCTGCGAGTCTTCGAGTTTTTGATGACATTAGACATAAATCATTCACACACGTGAAATACAGATCTTCTAGGGTCTTCTTATCGATGGTCTAGTGAATTTCTGTCTTCCCATCTAATCCAATCCACCACAGTTAAGAATGAAAATGAAATTTTAAAACACATACTTATTATTATTATTATTGTTCCCTTGGGTTCCTAGTGGAACATAGGGCTTCAACTGCATGTCTCCACTTGCCCCTTCTGCTATACTTTTCACCTGCACCCATCCATGTTAGTCCATACTGTTTCAACTCCTCCTCCTCCTCCTCTTCACACGATCTCCTCCATGTCACCCTTGCACTGACGTCCCCCACACTCGCCGCTTCCCTTTCCGGCCTGGTTCCACTCGAGCAATAGCCTGACGCGCGCGATGTTCTCATAGTTTCTCGTTGGTGATTCTTTTCGGCCCGACCATCTGATCTTCAGTTTAGAGCCAGCGAAGATAGTTGCTGGTTGATAAAGGTCTGCATGCAACAGGCTGTTGGAAATATTCTTTGTCACCCGCCCACCCGCCAACTTTCTGATCCGCATAGAAGAACTGACTGACTTGACGTTGTTTGTATTGAAAATCCAACTGAATTTTGTTGTTGATGCTGGCTGAGTGATGAAGATTTCCAGATTGGTTTCAGGTTGATGAAAACATATATACAATAAAAGCAACAACAACAATAAGAACAAAAGAAAAATGACACATACCCTGAAATGATTTCATCCAAATATCTTTCGTGTGCAGTATACAATGCCGCCGGACTGTCAATACGCTGTTCACTTCTAGTACCTTCTTCTCCTTCTTCATAATCCTTGACGCCAGGATCACTTTCATTAATTCGCTTACATGTTCTCGATGATGGCGGGAAGTTATCATCAGACATAAAATTATAATATGTATTAAATAATCCCAAGTATTTAATAAATTTACTCCAACAGACAGTAATATGATTCGATAAATGCATATTAAGACTATGCAGAGTTTGATGTAATTCATACAACCAGATGTATATGTAATGAAAGGTTTTTGACAAATGATCAGATGTATCGAGAAATACGGTGGAGAGGCGGATGAGGAGGAGGACGACAGAGGCGTCTTTGCATTGACGTTGGCGGATGTTTTTGACGACACCGACGCCGTTGACACTTTCCTTACTGCTAATAAATGATGTAATAAATAGGCACGATCATTTTTCAATTGTTGAAAGCATGAATTCAATGCCCATAGAGCAAATTTACACTGGATTAAACGTTGAAATATATAATTGTACTTTTGTATTATATCAGAATTGAAGCATTGATTCAACGGCCAAGGAGTGTTATATATTAGGTGTAAATGATTAAATGAGATGTAGTCATAAGGATCACTACTAGAATCCTCGGCATAATCATTCATGGAAGAGATTTTACTTGCAGTAGGAGCAGCGGCAGCAGTATCGCTAATAATCGCCGCTTTTTTTGACTTCACTAATGACACTAGACTTAAGTAATGCTTTAATAAATGTGTTGAATTCAATAGAGGCTGAGTATGTAGTGCAGTAGGCGTATTCATGTTATGATATGAATTGCTGGTAATGAAGTCTAGATTAGTGGTGTTCTTGCCTAACGCTGAATGACTTGATGACATTTCCGTTAGTACTGATTTCAATAATTGTTGAAGATAATCTGTGTTGAATAAACTCGCACGATGATGAATTGGGCCAGCAGCCTATAAATAAAAAAACAAAGTATTATTATTTCAAGTTAAGTTAGAGAACCAGTGAAAATCCCCAGAGAGTACTGGAGAGATGTTTCGCTCTAGTTTGGGACTCATTAACAGTACGCACCCACCGAGTTTAGGATACAGGACCTTTTTGGTGACAAGGCAAGTTCATGGAACATTCAGTCGCTGGGACCCTACTCACTGGCAAGCCCACGAATACTAACTTCTACCAGTTCGTGATTTTAGCGCCCCCTCACTTGCAACTCATCATATAATGACGTTGTCTGGAGTTCTAGTGAGAAGTCGTAACCACTGGGGTCCTGACTGACTGATTGATTGATTGATTTCAACGTAGAACTTTGTATAGAAGTGCAGCAGTTCCAGTTGTCACACTCCCTCCATGTAGTACAAAAAGCAAGAGAAGAAAGTTAAAAGAAACGCGAAATAGAGACAGTAAACAGAGGTGTGAGACAAAGGAATAGTAATATCGAAGAACAATATAGTTTCATTGGAAATCATAAGTCACAAGGAGTGGATGCACCCGCGCTAGTCATTGAGAACAATTTTGAGCCAGCCATATCACCAATTGTCTCCAGCATTCATTTGTGTTTACCGCCCCGAGGACCCCAACCAGTCAGGAAGTCTACACACCTTCCTACTGGGAAACTATAGCTGGTAGAGCCGGTGAATTCATCAGTTTAACGATACATATACTGCTGTCGTTATATCTTCAGAATCAACTAGTACTGGAATCATGTGTCACCAAATTTGAACTCACTGGTTGAACAAACACAGTTTCGCTGTAATATTGAAACTGTTACATAAGCCGCACAACTAGGCGTGTGTTGTCGTCGGATTTGCGGATATCACCCTGTGTGGTTAAGTAAAGCACAAACAAAATCCGTCCGTGGCGCTATTCTATCTCATCTTGTAGATACAAGACACAAGATTGGTGTTAACAAGGCGGCTTTCCAAGTCATTAACCACATACCAACAAATATTAACTTCAACTTAAGAGTTCGCCTACTACAATATTGCTGAGGCCGTCGAGATCCACATCAGGAGACCTAATTTATATATCCAAAAAGAAGACGGTTGGTTCAGACACTATCCTTACCACGCTGGCCATCAAAGTTCTAACGATCCTCAATTCGTTGGGGGAATTTCCTCCATTTTAATTGATATTCTATTTGATATTATATTTTTATGCTTCTTATTATTTATGCATCTTTAGTTAACTGTAATTCCACTGTTAGCTTACTTAACAAATCGATAGTATTTCAAATAACACCAATAGTGTTAATGACAACTATTCTAAAATATCCTATGTATATAAAGTTGTATATATAATTGTAGAGCCAGAAGAGGAAGCGAAGAGTCATTAGCCTGGGCGTGAATTATGATAGCTAATGACACACTACCATGATAGAGACTGTCGTCAAAATGGCAGAAATTAATCATCAACTGAAAGAATAAAAGATGAAAAGTGGCGATGAAGAAGTACAGAAAACACTCATTATTCACTTGATATAAACACTATCCTGAATCTGATGTTTAGTGGTTGGATAACCAAAGACTCTCAAATACAGGTGATAATGGAACTATTCAGTGACCAACTGGTTAATTTGTTCATTAATTAATTTCGAAAAGGAGTAGAATTTGGATCGCAGGCTTACACAGAATTTTTTTACTTAACATGCATCACGGCATCAAAGGAATAATCATCTGTTACAGGATTTCATCATGGGCTGACATCGGTTAGAGAACCACTGGAAAACCTCGGACCGGCTCTTCATCAGTACACACCCACCAACCAACTGTGGTTCGAACCCAGTACCTTCTGGTCACAAGGCGAGCTAGCTCGTAAACTATTAAGCTACTGGTGGGACCCGATGAAATGGCCCATGAATTCCAACTTCTGCCAATTCACGAAATAATGCGACCACTAGCCGAAGACATTGGCAAAAGTTGGAATTCATGTGCTGTACACTGTATAGGGTCCCAGTGGTTTAATAGTCCACGAGCTAGCTCGCCTTGTAACGAGAAGGTACTGGGTCTACATTGAAACCAGCCAATCAGTCGGTCAGGACCCAAGTGGTCAAAAATTCTCACTAGAACTACAGGCGACATCATTGTATAGTGGTTTACAAATGAAGTGGCGTTAAAATCACGAACTGATAGAAGTTAATATTCATGGGCTCGCCAGTGAGTAGGGTGCCAGCGGCTTAATGTCTCATGAACTTGCCTTGTCACCAAAAGGTCCTGAGTCCGAAACTCGGTAGGTGTGTACTGTTAATGAGTCCCAAACTAGGACGAAACGGCTGTCCAGTACTCCCTGCAGGTTTCCCAAATGGTTCTCCAACCAATGTCAGCTCATAATGAAATCCTGTAGCCAATCAATCAAATCCCTACAAACCAATATTTGAATAATCATCTGTTTAAATTTGGAGAGGAGTTTTACGGACAGACAGATAAACAGACATCTAAAGTGCCTCTGATGACTAAGTAGTCATCTCATGTTAGTTTGTTTTGTCATCCAGTAAATAATACTGTTTCACTGTGTGATACACCTAATAAACAAACTAATATGGAATTACTTACTACCACAGTGCCCAAGTTTTATACATATATTAAGTTGTCTGGTGGAAAACGTTTTGGCTATTGGAGCAATGAATGCTCCACTGGAGTCTCAGGAGAGGGAGGCTATCGCAAAAAGCACGAGATGTGAGATACTACCTATCGAAAGATTTTAGTCTGCTGTGAGCCATTTCGAAACAGTACACGCAACTACGAAACACCACGGCTCACCACATCTCAAGCATGAGCACATCTATTGAATCAAAATGAATTCGACTCCTTATTTATCAAGTACAATTATGTACTGGACAATAAATAACCTATTTTGGATACAATTGAATCCTTTGGTTGGTGAGAAGTGTTTGAGTTTCAGAGTGGACCTACACACACAAAATTACAGCACTTTAAACTGCATACCTCTAATATAATACAAACGTACGGCAACTGGCAGATTACAAAAACTGAATGCATCTGCGCCATCAAGAACTATACCATCACCGGTTTCACGCTGTTGGTTCTTAGTGTCTCCATAGCCTCAACCAGGTGTAGTTGATACCATATGTGGTCGGTTCGAACCATCTAACAAAAGCTCCACGGATTGGTGCGCAACACGCTCCCTAACCATTTCACACCATATTATACCACCTAACTGTGTCGGTGGCGCAGCGGTTAGGATGCTCGCTGACCATGCTTATGGTATGGGGTTTGATCCCCGGCCGGCGCACTCCTTTACCTCACTCAGCCAGAAATAAAGCTGGTGAAGAGGAAAGGTTGGGCATGAGGCTAGCAACCTCATCCTGTAAAATTAAACACTGCTACAGAAACTTCAGGTCACTAGCTTGAAGCCCTATGTTCCACTGGAACGTGAAGGAAAAATTATTATTATTAATTTACCACTTAACACTGAGGACAGAACATAAATTCCTGTGGTCAAAGACAGTAAGCCTCCTCGAGTCTTCCACTTCCACAGGCATAAAAGGGGACACAAAGAATTGCTAAGCAGTACACACGTTCTTCGATCGATAGCTGGACATCGCGTCAACACTAAAGATGACTTAGGTTGAAAATTGCCACTCAAGCCTTTTTGCAACCATGCTAAGATTCCGTCAGTAGTAATCTATCTAATGGAGTTGATGCGACTCCTCGAATAAGATAAAAATGGTCAACAACACTCGATCACTTCACTCTCTATCTTACACATTTGACAAGAGAGAATTGCATACCGAATACATTTGAAAATTTCTACTCAATAGGGTAACAATATCAACCACACCCTCTGATTTTGACGCAACTGTTCACTAGTAACAGATCAATTCCTAAGCCACTAAAGTCAACTAGAGTCAATTTCATTAACACATCTACAACGAAATTAAACAAAAATGGAGACAGCGGGCTTCTCTAACGGAAACCACCGGTTGTCATCACACCAGGCGACAACTCTTCGTAAGCTCTTACACGGCTTCAAAAGTTCGGGTAGAGCAGCGCGCTGTGTCTGGTGCGATAAACTTTTTTCGCGTCTCTCTATTCACCGCCGAAGCTTGCCACAGCAATTCTCCGCCGACAGAGTCTATACACATATAAATAACAGCTCAGATAAAAATGATTTCCTTACTACGAATATATTTTAAATAAATTAAAAAACCCATGGCTTTATTAGAAAACAGGAAATAAACTACTCATCTCACCTTTTCAAATAAACCGCTCAATAACAGTTGAGAGAAACTCCCATTGGCTAGAAGGTATGTTTCATATAAACAGTAGAAATGATCGCAAAGACGAAGATCAAACATGAAATAGTTGCACAAAGCACTATTGACATATTTCACACTAGAAATTTAAAAATAAAAAATAGGAATGCACAGATAGAAAACTAAAAAGAAAATTAAGCATAAGCAACAGCTTTATTAATGAATGCCTTTAACCAAGGAGCATTAGATGGTTTGTTTCACCCTATTAGTTTGCGGGACTCTTCAACAGTGTGCATCTACCACCAGACATCGAGACCAGCACCTTCAGGTTACGGTACCAAGTTAACTGATCAACCAATCACCTGGGACGAAAATCAATACGCTGTGAATTCTAATTTTGTCAACTACTGATGTAGACTTAATGCGAAACGATACCATCAATCAACACATCCCCACATAGTGGACCCCACTAGCCACAACTTCCTCATAAATGACCTGGAACAGTCGAGGGTAGGTAGACTTCGATCTTCCACTCTAAATGCTCACATATGACCACGCGTTCTCATAGCTACCACCAAATCAATCATACTCACCCGTGGTTGAGGTGTCCCTCACAAAAATGAAAGAGTTTACAAGAGCACCGATGGAATTGGTGATCTACCTGTGGAAACTGGAAAACACCGCTTTCAAACCACCTATGGGCTTTGGAACTCGAACAGATCGAATGTTACATGAGGCTATTTGGAAGAAAGAAACGAAGACGTTGAGGTTAGATGTGTGTTGCGTTCAACTGCAAAACACTGTAGGTAGACGCTTGTTAATAATCCTAGATATCCTCTCCTCCAAAGCGAACACGCCAAAATACAATTACTCAGTAGTAATCTCTAATGCAGTATCAAAACACAGACACTGTGAAGTAGTATAACTGAACATGAGTTTCAAGTATTGGTTTCTAGGATTTTGGTTGATTGGTTACAGGATTTCATCATGAGTTGACATAGATTAGAGAACAATTGGGAAACCTGTAGGAAGTATTTGACAGCTGTTTCATCCTAGTTTGGGAGCCTTTATCAGTACGCATTGACCAGGATTCCAATCCAGGACCTCACGGTTACAAGTCAAGCTAGCTCGTAGACGACTAAGCCACTGGGACCCAATCCAATGCCAAGTCAGCCGATGAATTCTAACCTCTGCCAGTTCACACCCAACCTCCTACACCTTACTGTAACGATATCCCACTATAACCTAGTTAACTATCTACTTGAATAGGACCAGTTGCTAGTGAGCATCTCACTGATATTCAAATATTGGTCTGTGTAAGTTAACTGTTATATGTGTGAAATGCTGTCCAACGGTGATTTAAAATGAAAGTGACTGGAGGATTGATAATTTTTTCGCCTTTTTATAGAATTATTCTTTTGTATGACTGTTCAATTACTTACTATGAACTTATTAAAACTGTGCACGACATCTTTTTACAGTTAGCTAGTTAGTGAGTTAGTTAGTTATCTAAACGAATGAATTCAACACATACATTTGTAACAACTTAAAGTAGTCTTTATTTTTTTATATCTTATTATTTTACGCTAGAGCTACACCGAAGTGTTAAGTAAGCCAAAGAAGAGGAAGTTAATCGATGAAATTGTTAGGCTACTTTGATCGAGATAGTTAGAACACACGTGTCATGCATGCCAGACCAACTTCTTCGCGCGTTGGACAATATTGTCAGACATATAGGATAACGGTTAAGAAAAGTACTTAGAGGTGATGAAATCAAAACTTGTAGTCAATCCACGAAGTTATTAGTAGTTGGTTTGAACCAACCATGTAGGGATTGTGTGTAAACTGGTTGGGTTGAATTCATCGAAATGATAAGAACCAAGTCATTGATGGCTTGGGATAATCGATGATATTGGTCACTATTGTTGTCAGACTGATTAAATTCTCATGTTTCTCCAGTTAACTATTATCTCTATCGGACAAAGATAATAGTTAATAGCCCGGCCGACAACTGCTACCTTGTCGTGGTGGTCGGGCTTGAATACCGTAATAACCCAACATGCTAAACTGACTGGAACTCTGTCCCTGCAGGTCCTACCATGTCAGGAAAGTTGTTTGGATAGCGGTTAAACTAAAAGCAGTTACCATGGGGTACATGGGCTCCAGTATCCAATCGGATCAAATGGAGTATGAACCCATATGGGTCACCGTCAACCATGGGAATGCAGCTCCTGACGCTGCTTCGCTGCCTTGCGGATTAGACTCCAAGTCGTCAAAGGCTCGGGGTGGTTTCTTAATAAAACCACCTGCTTCGGTCTGGGCGCCCGGGCAGTATCTCAGCCCTCACACAATGAATTGAATGAAGTAAAAAACAACCAATGAAACTTATCGCGTGCTATCACACGTGTTGCAATTTCCTTCTTTCTTCCCTTCCCGATGATAGTTAACGAATACTGTTTGAATTTGTTAAGCATGACTGTTTTCCTTCAGATGAAGTTCTTTATCCGTTCTCTACTTATATATATATATATATATATATATATATATATATATATTTCTCTTCTTTCTTTTGATCTATGTTGTTTTATTATTATTGTGTGGCGCATCCTTCTTGGTGTCATATTGTACCAAGTTTTTATGCGTTTAAATAATAAATAATAATAATCTATCGGACAATTCGGATCCCTTAAAGATCTTTTGAATTTCAATTTTTTTTCTTTGTTTATTTCACATTTGTATGTTATATGGAGTGTGCCAACACTTTAAAAGTTGCACTTTTTGTGCACGTTGGAACGCAGTCAGTCATATGTTACTGCATGAATGAGACCATAAAGTTTTGGATATTTTTTGGGTTAACAGAAGATTCTCTATATAAAGAAGGTTATTGTCTCTGAAAATTTCGAAGTATATATATATATAATAAAAGAATACGGAAGTCTGTTAGAGTGATTCGACAAACACCACTTGTAGCAGTCGTCTCTTAACACACGCTGACTCTCTGTCACCTGACTGCTTCAGTCTGAGTTTAGTTCTTACTTTATAGAAGGCTGATTATGGATTAATGTTAGTTATTTTGATGACCTCTACTATCATTGGTGCAGTCCAGTAGAAGTGCTTTGGACCAAACTTTGGACACGGTAGGAATACTAATTGTCAAATTAGATCAAAATGATATAAGACAACAGTGTATGACGGCTATTAAGCATTGAACATTATATATATATATATATATATATATATATATATATATATATTACAAATACGTAACTTACTGAAGAGTAAGAGGACGAATTATTGATCGATCAATTAATACGCGTAGAGGAGCCATTAAACAATTAGTTTTATCCTCCGTCAGTTCATCAACTTCATTTGACGACAATTTTGAGAGTTTGTCATCTTTAAATATTGAAGACTCACTGAGAAAATCTTCATTTACAATAAACAATATAATAAGAAATACATGAAACGATTAAGAATGCTGTGGAAGATGTTGAACAGTATGTATGTTACAGAGTTCCTTTCCTCATTCCTTTAGTTCCAAGTGGAACCAATAGGGTAGGTTTCAGTGGAGGTGGCGGTGGTGTTGCCTCATACCCCATCTTCTACTTTTTTCAAAGGCTTATCACAGGCTACGCGAAGTCCAGGATTCGAACCTGGGCAAACGGTCTGGCTGACGAGCAATGTGCCAGTGAACCAACGGTGCACACATGAAGTTACCCAAAAAAAACATTCAAATGTCCCACTGTTTTTCGCAATTGACATAAAAAGAGCTTTATGCGAAGCTAAGAAAACTATCATAGCCAAAGTCAAGGTCTGTAAGATGTTGACCTTGAAGAGCCAATCAAATTTAGAGAATGCCGCAAAAGGTTATTCCTAATCAAATTCAATTTTCCCTTTGTGGATTTGGTGAGGGTAGGTACAGTATTCTGCTTATTCCCTGGGTACTTTTTTTCTGCTCCGCTCAGTCCTCTTTTATGGCTGTGACCGAGACCTGGCCATTGAGAGTGGAAGACATGAAAAACCTGGCTAGCTGTCTTTCATCATAGGTGCCTGCGCTCCATCTCCCGTGTGAAGTGGTATAATAAGGTAAGCAATATTGAGGTTAGGCACCGGTCGAGTTCTAGGTAAGGAGGGGAAGTCATTCGATGAGGCTGTGAATTTACATCGACTGAGATGGTTAGGACATGTGTTACGCACGCCTGTCTAGTCATCTCCTTCCTCGACAACGGGCAATGTTAGCTGACTGGCATAGGGTCAGACTGGAAAAGAGATAGCGGCAGTCAAACCAAAACATGGCCTCATCAGTCAATGAAATCCACAACGGTTAGTTTATGCCAGCCACGTAAGAAGGTGTAGACTTCCTATATTCTTGGAGTCTTCGAGATGGTGAAAACCAATAAAGGCTGGAGACAATCGTTGACATGGCTGGCTCAAAATCGTTCTCAATGGTTAGCGCAGATGCATCCACTCCTTGTGACTTATAATTTTCAATGGAACTATATTGTTCTTCGTTATTACTATTCCTTTTGTCTACTGTCTCTATTTTGCATTTCTTCTGCTTTCTTCTCTTACTTTGTGTGATACATGGAGGGAGTGTGGCGAATTGAACATCGGTGTACATCGGTGCAAAGTTTTATGTAGAAAACAGACAGACAGACTTTTTTCTGCAAATCCACCCTGTCTGTTAGGCTTAGTGGTTTTGGGGTTAAGGTTAGAAAGAGAATTTCGGTTAGTTTAAAGAACAATCTCAAGAATACCAATGGATCAGAAAGTACCAGAGTCTACAATCACCTGGATAGATATACATCAATCACGCATGGTATGATTTATCTGTAGATTTTCTTTGGAGTACCTGAGAGACATCCTAACAACACAGTACAGACAATTATTCAGTGTAACATAATGTTTTTAATGTTGTTTAACAATTTTTTCGAACTCTTACGTGACATTCTTGCACTTGAATTTTGACTGGTTTTTCAAGGTCAAAGCGGATTTGACTACCAGGACAGTTAACTTCGCCGAAATTCAAATACAATCAACTGGTGATGATTGAACTCTAGTCCACGAAAACTAGTAAATTTTTACACAGTTGATGAAATATATATGCCCATTATACACTTTCTGCCTCTGAGATAACACCTATAGAATAACCTACTGAGAGAAGGTTGTGAAGAATTGCGGTTTTCTCTTTGAATATAAAATATTTGTCAACCACGTACATTAGGATACTGCCGAGGACGACGAACTTAATATACCGGTGACCACTACACATCGACTTATAGATTTTTATACAACTGCATCGTCCTTCTTTGACGCTTTAAAGTGAGTTACTGAATATGTGCATAAGTTTTCTGAATTTGAATAGTCGCTAGTCGTCAGTGATTAAAGTGCATCCGCATGTACTAGAACTCCTATCGAACGATTTTTAGTGTGGAAACCGTAGTATGTATGACTGCCATCTATTCGCAATGTGGCGGGGACCGTTAGTATGAACATGTGATGATTATATGAAGTCATTTGAAAGTAGGCCGCCAGTACATCGTTCTCACTCTAAGAGTATTACATTTCAATTGTTATAAGGGAGTCAGACAATTGAAATTTGCAATTTAAACAATTCGAGGTGAAATTTCACGACAAAGTTTCCTATGGCAAGCCGAAATTAATCAGATGACATAAAGTATGCGATCTGCTTGATACCATAGGAATGGCGATTCAGCCTGGCCTGTGCGTCGGTAGCACAGTGGTAGAATGCTAACCAACCACGCCCTATGTGGTTCGGGGTTGGATCCCCGGCCAGCCCACCTCTTTACCTCACTGAACCAGTAATAAGACCCGTAAAGAAGGAAGATGGGGCATGAGACTAGCAACCCCATCCTGTAAAAATAATCACCACTGCTACAGAAACTTCAGACCTGTAGCTTGAAACCTAATGTTCCACTGGGAACGTAAAGGAATACACAAAATTAAAAATAACAACCAGGCCCCATATGAGCCGAATAGTCCTCCGGTGTTCAGATCACTTCAATCTGATTGGTCAGCAAACACTGTGACGGGAGAAGGCAAGAGATTTTCGTTACATTTAAGGTCAGCTAGGTCGCTTCCCGTTAAGTCTCAGTCAGACTGCTTCAAATTAAATAGCTTCCTGTCGGACATCAGTCAGTGGTCTAAAATAAATGGCCTAACGCTGAATCCCTCAAAATGCCAGACTGTCGACTTCTCCTTTAGGCATAAACGAGATCTACAAACACTAGTAAGCACTCATGATGTCTGTAGAATCGAGGGGACTATAATTGAAACAAAGTCTAATGCAAAATACCTCGGATTAGTTATATCTTCCGACCTTACTTGGTCATCTCATATCCAAATGATTTCCAAGAAAGTGTTTCGTCTAACCTACTACATTAAGAAACTCAGACTAACTGGAGTCCCTCAACCTCTGCTTACACAATTTGTCAACTCTCGTATCCTACCTATTCTACTTTACTGTTCCCCGTTAGTCTTTCCTGGGTTACTGAAAAAGGATTATACCATCCTGAGAAGGATGTTGAAGGTAGTTAGCAGGACTAGCGGTGTAAAACTCAGTCAGCTCGTCACAACATTAGTGGATAAGCATCTGAATACATGTGAGAAATGGTCTAAAACCATACTCTCTGACCCCCAACACCCCCTCTATTCCCAACTCTCTCCTTGCATCTCATCAGGTAGAACCAGAAATCAGTATAAAATAATATATGCTCGCACAACCAAGTATAGGAACTCAACGATACCATATTTGGCCCGTGTTCTAAGTGACAGAGACAATGTTAGGCGTGAAACCTATGACTTGCTTTGTTGTTAATAACATAATTTTGGCCCTTGTTTTTTTCCCCCTTACACTCTCTTATTTGTACTCTATAGTGAACAACCTTCTTAAACATACTTAGCTGCTTAAAATTATTATCATTGGCTTACATTTTTATTCTTTATTCTATTCCTTCTTTGTACATCTACTGGGTCCGACTATATTATCACTATGATTATTAAAAATTGTCCCGTCATTAACCATCATGTAACATTAGTTTTGTGGTTGTTCTTTGTTCGGCACTATTTAACTGACAATCTTGTTTGTTATTGCCACTATCACCATCTTAAAAATTTTGTATTATGCATGATTCCTCACACTGCCACTACAAACAAACCGCATTAGTACTGACAAAAAAAAACCGGAAATGTTTATCTTATGATTGCTTAGTGTTGTTCAATCAAATTAACTGATCATCTTGGCTATAAACATTTTTAAGAACATCTCATAATTTCCCGTATGATTATAGCTGTTACTGTTCACCACGCATACACATATCGTAGCTTCCACTAACCAATACTGAAATATTTTTTTTTTCATTATTTGTGTTTATCTTCCTTTTTACTTGGTATTTTTATTTGCATTTTTTGTTATTTCTGTGTTTCTTTTTTTTTTTGGTTTTTTGTTGTTTTTTTTATATATATTTTATTTTTTTTTTATAATACTCCTTTTAAATGTACGATGAAATTAGATGCAATATTGTAGATATGTGCTGAAAATTCCACACTGTACCACAAGTACTGTTTCTGGAATAAAGCGAAATTGTTATGTTATGTTATGTCAACGGATAACACTGTTCTGATTGGCTGTCGGTTTTCTGAAGGTTACACACTTAAGACGAAAACTTGTCCAATGAGATTATTTCCTGGCCAAAATGTAAACTAATTCCGAATTTGAGGAAAAAACACTTCCAGCTCTGCTTCAGCCCTTGACTTAAAATGTTACTTTCTATTTTAGCTACTTCCTATCGACTTGCGCCTATATACTACTGGCAAATCTTGTCAGTAGTACACGCCACAACTACTCATTTCTGTCAATTACATTTTTCTGATTTTACTCTAAATAATCAAATTTAATAAAGCAATGAATCATTGAAACATGAGAATATAAACGACCTGGTGCGGTCGACGGTGGATAGACTATAGTCTCCTTTTCGAAATACCCTCTCATGAAGCCACACCTTCATACTCTCACCCAGATAAGTCCTATTCACTACCTTAGCACAACCGGCGTTTTCCGAAAAAACGTGGAACGTCTGAAGCTTACAACTGGACCACCAGTGGACACATCAGTCTAGCTAGGGAGGATGGAAAACCCTGATTCCAAAACCATTGGTGCACACAAGCTCCAATTCTATCCTTTCGGATAGAATGGTGTGTGTGTGTGAACATATTTTCTCCTCAACGCTGCTCTTCCACTGCCTTGAGGATCAGACACCAAGTCAAAGGCTCGCACGTGGGAGGTGGCCCCCTCTATGAAAACCACCTGCTTGGGTCTACGCGTTTGGACTGTATCCCAGCTCTCGAACAAACTATGAGATTTTGTGTTGCGCATCTTTTGTGTCCACATGTTCTGTTTCTTTTTCGATAATTAAGCGAAGAACAAATTAACATATACAGGACGCTTTCCAGTTAGAAAACTGAACATTTCTTACAAATAACCGGAGGAATATAAACAATCATAGATACTGATAGTCTTCTCGCTTGGCGTGTACATATTCTATTTGATGTGTAGTAATTGTCTTCTCATAACTGAACGATATCTACTGTGCATGTATTATTTATTTTCCACTCTTTTTGATGAATATTGTTTAGTATTTGATGGTTGGAGGTGATCGGCCATAGGAAGCACTGTCTAGACCTAGGTTTCGGGCTGGTTGGCATTCACCAGTCAGTCAGTCAGCAAGATGTATCTACAACCATGAAGGAACTCATCTCCAAGACAAAAATATCCAACACAGTCCTACAGGAGATGAATTGCTAAACTAAATAGCTCAGTGGTTAACATCTCTGACTTAAGCAGTGGGTTATATGGGTTCGATTCTCAGAAGGGATATGAGTTTCTTCAAGGTTGTAGATACGCCTTGCTGACTGACTGGTGAGTGCCGATTAGCACGAAACCTATGTCCAGGGCTGCTTTCCGATTGCTTCCAACCTTCTAATACCGACAACTGACAGTGCACAATGATGGCGAACCAACTAGTGTGGCATGGTGGCCACAGTTAAAAACTTGAGTGACTGGAGAATTCAGTCTGCACCAAAGGATAAGAATAGACACATCACATTAGTTACTGACTAGTTTTCAATTAAAAAAGAGCACTGTTTAATACTGACTATGGATCGGCTTTGACACACACACACAAACACTGTGTGTCTGATGGCATTTAGCCGTAGACACCTCTCACAATTCAAGGTTTGTATTATTATATTCATTATTTGACTTATAATATATAAATAACATCGTTGGATTTTCGACGTAACTCAAACCATTTGGTTCAATCAATCGAAATGCCGATTACAACTGTTGTTAGAGGATTTCTGAGAGAAGAAGAAGAAGAAGAAGAAGAAATCTTCTACACACAATGGAATATATCAAAATAAACTCACCTGAAGGTCTAGATGATGGTCCAACACCTTTGCCGTAGAGTATATGTTGAATCGTTGAATCAGATGAATGACCATATTTATTACGTTGCTTAAACATTTCTATAGATTTGAGAGGATTCGAATTGTTTGCCTCTGCCACTCTATCTCGATTGGTATTTTGAGACTTATTTGTACATACCTAAACAACAAAATAGAAACAGTTGCGTTATAGACCAAGTTAAACTTTAAACACCACTAACTACCAATCAGCGAACGACGTTGGTCTGTTCAAGGTCGTTTGCTGATTGGTTGTTAGTGGTATTGGAAGTTTAACTTTGCCGAGTTATATAAAACAAATGGGTTTTTTTATTCCTTTACGTTACCAGTGGAACATGGGGGACTTCAAGCTACAACTTTGAAGTTTCAGCAGCAGTGGTGCGTTTTATTTCTACGGAATGGGGTTGCTAGCCAGCCTCATGCCCGACCTTACCTCTTTACCAGTCTTATTACTGGTTCATTGAGGTTTAGAAGTGTGGTGCGTCGGCAGGGGATCGAACACTGGACCACATGTGTGGTCGGCGAGCGGGCCCATCGCTGTGACACCGACACAAAGTAAATGAAGGAGAAGTGAAACAGTAACAGCCACCTCGAACTAGCTTACCACACTGACTATTCATAGTCTCATGCAATTATGAAATTCGTGTGTATTTTTATTCTGATTTCTAATCAACACCAAATCTCAAACCTCTTAAAAGATCACTTCTCGTATTATGCTCTCCGCTCAGCATTCACCTTTCAGTAACTAGAAATGAATAGATTATTCATATAGTAACTAAAAAAATCGACCTTCCCGAAACTCATCAAATGAATTCAGAACACAAGGCATACTTTGATTTACTCCTACATACCACCTGTACGTAAAATGTTGTTGAAGGTCATGTACTCTGCTGGCTGATATAATTTCAGATTATCAATCAATCCATTGAACACCAAAAGTAGTTACGCTGGTCAGTTCACTTTCATTGTTCACTGACTCATGACAAATTCTACATACATACAAGTGGGTTATGCGGAGGAGAAATCCTTAGAGCTGTACATTTTTGAATGTTATTAGTATTATTATTTCCTTAAGCTCATAGTGGAACCTATAGTCTCACAAGGACATCTGCATTTCATCCTGTTCACTGCTGTCCTGTTTAACTGGCTCATCCTCACATGATTTCCTTCATATTACCCTTGGATCCACACCAAACTCGTTGTCTCCATTCAGGTTCCACAATTGAGGATGTCACTAAATGGTCTCCTCAGCACGTGTCCCGTGCATCTCCATTTTCTTCGGAATATTTTTCGGGCAACAGGTTGTTTTGCTGATTTGTTGCCTGGTGGTACAGTGCCTTGCTGCTAATCTTTTCTGGCTATCACGTCTTCATTTGATGAAGAAGAATACACAGTGGCTAACTGACTTCTCGAAGGCTTTTACCAGCCAGCAATATTCCGTTTCTTCGATTCTAACGAAGTCACTGTAGCGACTTGGTTGGGTTGATTATCCAGGGTAAAGTCACTAGTCCCACACACACACACACACCCAACCACTCCTCCTTTTCTGGGTTGGAATGGGTCAGTGAACTACCCAAAGTCACAACCATGAATGTACAATAGAATTTACAGATACACACTTATCATACTTGACTTTAGGATTGCTTAAATTTTTAATTTTTAAATAGTGCGATAACAGGAAGTATATTAGTGAGAACATTACCTTAACTGTTCACGTTATAATAATAAGTACTCAGATAAGTAAACACGATTTGTTAAATATAGGGAAAATAAGCATAAAATTGTATAATGCTATCTGAGTTGTTGGATAGCACTCACAGCAACCAGTGGTAGTGTTTGTAAGGCAGTCAGATCGAATTGATCTAAACACAGGCAGGCCACCTGTGATCTGTGACCGTGCTCATCAGTGGTGTACTCCGTATGACTCAGCTAAGAGACAGCTGACTCAGTTCAAATCACCAACGAATTCCGGCTAGCTTACTTGAGTGACCTGATAAATGAACTCTTTATGCAATACAGAATCTATAGACAATCACTAGTAATTTACTAATTATAAACGAATATTTATTAGGCTCATAACTGGGATACACAAAATAAGGATCAAATTAAAAGAGAAGATAACTGCTTCGATATTACTCATTGATCCCGATTGAATAATCGCCTAGACAATACACTTACGGATCAGTATTATTGAAGAAATGATAAACAATCAAAAATAACACCTAGTTGTCATTTGGAGCAATTCAACTCACCCATCGAGGAAGAGTAGACTTTGGTCTTGCTCTCTAGGTTTTGTCATGTTGTGGTGAGGGCAGGCTGCTAGCCAATTGGTAGACATTAATTTACGTCAATGTCTAGGACGCTAATATTGGCCGTGAGAAAATATGAACAAGACTGATTCAACAACCAATCACAGCAGACTTAAGGTGGGCAAATACGATTTGCAGATATATGGCTTAACTTTCTGAGCAACCAGTCACAAGCAGTACAGAATAACCTTGAGCAGAAAACAACCAATCAAAAGACTGTGTTTGTCTGCATGAATAAGCTATGATAATGTACATGAAATATATATAAATACGTGCTGATTTTCCTTAATAAATGATCTGTTTCCTGGCCCTTGTCTTCTGTTGTTACAATGTGACATGCGACCATAGTTTTTTCCAAGGAAGTCTTATCCAATGGCTTCAACCACCCCTGAAACGTTTCTCATTGAAGTGAAAGGTTGAATGGAAATCTGCAACGCTTACAATCGAACTGGGGGACATACTGCTCCACCTTCGAGAGCTGGAAAACCCTGATTCCAAACCTATGATGTACATGAGCTCTAGTATCCAAACGGATCAATATCGTATGAACCCATTTTGGTCATCGGAAACTATAAGAATGTAGTTGTAGCGACAGAGGGCAAGGGCCAGGCAGCAGATTGTATATTGAGGAAAATCAAAAGATATTCATAGATTTTTTATGTACATTATTGTACGCGGATAAGCAGCGTCTTCTGATTGGTTTATTTCCTCTGAAAGTTATTCTGTAGTGCTTGTGACCGTTTCTTAAAAAGTTAAGTCATATATCTGCGAATCGTATTTGCACACCTAAGTACGCTGTGAGTTCCTCAAGGTTAAGCTTTATTATTGCTTTTCTTCTCATGACGCTGATTCTGGACGTAACACTGACGTAAATTGTTGGGACTTTGTTTGATTGGATGAAGATTTCTACATGAGCTAACATCAGTAAGCGAACCATTGGGAAACCAACTGGGAGTACTGAAAGACAGTTGTGTTCCCCCGTCCTAGTTTGGGACTCTTCATCAGTACGCACCCACCCACTCCCAGGGTTTGAACCCATGACCTTCTGGTTACAAGGCAAGCTAGCTCGTAGACCATTGGCCAGTGCATGAATTCTAACTTCTGCCAGTTCACAACATAGCGCGAGCATTTCGCAATGTCTTCTTCGATGAGTTACTTCCTTATCTTCAATTTCGGCTTGTTCGCAGCCAACTCTCACCGCATAGTTCCTAACGGTGGTCAATGATTGGTTTGAGGATTATACTTCAAGTCAAAAGCTCGCGAAGGACGGGTGGCCCCTTAAGACAGCAATCTGCTTCGGTCTGGGTGTTCGGGCAGTACACCATCCCACCCCACAAACTACGGGATTTTGTATGGTATATCTCTTGGTTTCCGTAATGTACCGAGCTTATGTTTTATCAGATAATAATAATAACAATGCAGAAGCTAACGTGAAGCTTCTGACATGAAACAATAAAAAAGAGGGCGGAAACACTTACGGAATTCACACGATTGTCATCAGAACCATAAATCAGCTGTGACATTTGATCTTTAAATGTACAAGCGCCTTGATTACGCTGAGCAAATTTAATTCTTAACATATTTAAAGGATCATCATTTGACAAACCGTCAGACGTATTTATCGCTGACTTCTTATTATTCTCTTCATTTGATGAAACAACACGACAAGCGGATGTTTTTTCGCGCTCAACAACTTCTTGTTGATCGTCTGTAATAATACACATCGGATCAGATGGATAAGACTGACTTGACTGTACTTTACTGGTTGACAATTTCTCACCGGTTAATTCACTGTACACTTCATAAGCCATAGGTGCAATACGATTAGCTTTCATTTGCAAAGCTTTACTAGCATTCGGTTCCAGAGTTTCAATAAGAATTTGATCATTTTTAATGTGAGTGTCTAGGTCGGCTCGGTGTTTATCAACCTCCTGAGTTAAATTGGCATAATACGCTTCTAATTCAGCCCTGTGGAAAATAAAAAGAATAAATCAGTGGGTAATTGTATATATTTTTTCACTTCTATTTTTATCAATTCATTCATGTTCCCAGTGGAACTTACCGAGGGCTTCAAGCTAGAGACTTGAAGTTTCGTCAGCAGTGGTGTTTACTTTTACAGGATGGGGTTGCTAGCCAGCCTCATGCCCAGCCCAACCTTTCCTCTTTTGCAACTTCATTTCTGGCTTAGCGAGATAAAGGAGTCCATCGTTGGCCAGGAATCGACCCCCGGACCATATGCATGGTCGGGAGTCCTAACCGCTGTGTCACCGATGCACAATTGTATATATAATGGATAATAAATAAGGCCTTCAACATCTTATTGTAACAAAATAAAAGCCGTTATAGAGAGAGTGTATTGAACACTGTTCTCGTTTACCTTCCTTTCAGGGAAACACCCAGTAGTCAATTCTGTGGAGCAAGAAGCAAAACATCTATCAAAACCTGATGCCAATGATGACAAATAGACTGTATTTTTATGAGGGGGCTTGACCACAGTAGTCTGATTTCTTGAAGTGTACAAAATACACGCTCTTACAGAGCTCGCGTTCTGCTTTCCTTCATCGCGTGACTGCTGTATAGTTAAACATCAAGTGACAAAACAGAGGATCTGGACTTCACCGATGATGACATATGTCTGATTTCCCACAAACTGGAAGAAATACAAGTGAAAAGCAACAAGTTGGCAGAAGAAGCATACATAAAATAGGACTTCAGGTGATCATAGAGAAAACAGAGGTGATGAAGATTCCTGGCCAACAACAACAGACAACAATCAGCATAAATGGGAGGAACCTGAAAGAAACAACCTCCTTCACCTACCTACCACCTGGGAAGCATCGTTTCAACTACAGGTGGACAGGACTGATGAGGATATCAAAGCAGCGACGATCGGGAAAGCAAGACAAGCTTTCATTACTCCTAAGTCTGTGTGGAGGTCAACAGCACTCAGCATCAAAAATAAGATCCGGATTTTCAACTCCAATGTGAAGTCAGCCAGTGCTACTATACGGATCAGAGACTTGGCCAGCGCGTCATGAAGAGCACCTCAAACAAACCACAGATCTTCATTAACAGCTGTCTTCGCTCAATACTCAAGATCAGATGACCGGCCAGAAAAGATCAACAACAAGGATCTCTAGAAGAGGAAAAACCAGCCAGGAACCAATTGTGTAACAAGCATTCAGGAAGAAATGGAGGTGGATTGGCTATACTCTGAGAAAACCATCAAGTGATATCACACGACAGGCCATCGCTCGAATGGAACCCGAATGAGAAGAGTCGATTTGGTTTTCCGAGAGTGGGGTGACATGGAGAAGGTCATGTGAAGGGGAGATGAAAGCATGTGGGCAAACTTGGAGCAGGATGAAAACTTTGACAGAGAACCGAAAGCAATGGAGACGCACGGCTGAAGCCCTATGTTCCTCTAGGAATTAAAGGAAATAATAATAACAAGTGACAAAGCAGATTACTGTGATTTATTAAAAAAAACTTTCCATAGAATGCAGAAATCTTAGAGAGGAGTACAGGATTAATAAGATTGACAGGTAATCAAAATAGTACTCAATATGGTGAGCATTATGATAACACACTGCATATATATATGTTATATAGTTAGAGGAAATCGGCATGAGGCCGTGGACATAGGTTTCGTGCTTGTTGGCACTCGTCAGAAAGAGGCATCTGCAATTATGAAGGAATTCATGTCCTTATAATTTGACAAATTACGACTATGAAAGAAGGATTGATTGAACGAACTTCTTCTATGTACACAACTTTGGCTTTTCTATTTCGATAGCTAAAGCTTCAGCAATGCGGGTGAGTTGAACTTCAGTAGACTATTCGTCGCTTTGTGTGCCAGTGGCATATACAATTATTTTTTTTTTTTTTATTTTGATTACAGCTTGATTCCACACTGTATTTTGGCACAAGTATGGAATTTTCAGCGTGGATATCGGTAGCCTAAATTTCGCAGGCCGACCATAGATATCAGGTGTGCGTCGGCGTGGGCTCGAACCCCGGACCATGTGCATGATCGGCGAGAGTTCTAACCACTGTGCCACCGACGCACAAATTTTTTAAAGGGATGATCCGAAGACCTCCCCACTAGCAAAAAACTACGCGTCCGAGCGAGCCCAATTAGGGATCGTCGCAGGCTTCAACACGCCGAAGTGCAAAGGCGAGCCTCCACCTGGGGCCAGGTCATTTTTGATCACCCTGGTCCCGGCGCCAAGTAAGTTAGAATGCTCTCCAGCCATGCATGTTGTCTGGCATTCGATTCTTGGCCGACGCACTCGCGAACCTCTCTAAGCCGGTAGTAAGATCGGTAAAGACACGGAAGGTCGGGTATGAGTCTAGTGATCCATCCTGTAATATTGAAACCACTGCTACCAGATTTTTAAAGCTGCAGCTTAAAGCCTTGTGTTCCACTGGGAATAAAATAATAATAATAATGATAAATTCTTAAACTTTAAAGATCATTCAGTTTCTATTGGTTTTCTCAATCTGTCAGTCTTTATGTGTGGTCTAGTAGTTAGAGTTTATCTACTTTACTGAAACCCTTCACTTATATGAGTGCTTGTTTTGAAGGTACCGACAGAAAAATGCTGAAAGTGACCTACGACCTGAATTATCCTAAATATGGTATTATTATGTTATTCTTTTACGTTCTGAGTGGAACATAGGGCTTCAAGCTACAGAGTGTTGAAGTTTCGGTAGCAGTGGTTTTATTTTTACAGGGTGGAAGTCGCTGGTCTCACGCCCAAGCTTCCCTCTTTACCGGCCTTTCTACCGACTTAGCGATCAAACCCCGGACCACGTGTAGTGTGGTTGGCGAGGATCCTACAGCTGAAACAAACATGAACATATTTAGAAAAACCATAATTTAATTCCACTTTGATTTCAAACTTCGTAGTTTTACTATTAGCACTAATCGTTTGCAGCACGATGTGTCTACTACCCTATGGATTCATTCATATCTCACCTGTCATTGAACAATGTTCAGTCACTTGTATCTCAGTCATTATCGAGCCAATAGTACAACTTCGTTCTCTGACACAAATTCAGGTACTTTTGGTTCCTTCGTTTTTGTCCTTCCATAATTTCTTGTAGTGTTTATTATGATTACTGAAACACAAATCCGGTAGATTAAAGGCACCAAGATGTCAGGCCTGGGATACCGCCCAGACTGACACATGTGATTGTTTATGACAACTTTGACTTGAAGTCTTATCCACAAGGCAGTGGAGCAGTGTAATGAGTCGCGTTCGCATGGTTTCAGATGACCAAGACAACTTCATGCGCCATGTGGCCCTTTCAGATTCCTGGGCCCATGTACACCATAATTTTGGAATCGGGGTTTTTCAGCTCCCCTAGGTAGACCACCATGTCCACCGGTTAGATTGTAAGTGCCAGACGTTCGCATTCACTGTTTCGCTTTTGTGAAGAGATCATCCTATACACCGCGTGAAGGCAGTGAATGAATAGGACTTACCTAGCAGAAGCTATGAACGCATGGCCTCTTGAAAGCACTTTGAGAGGAAGACCAGAGCCTACTCAACCTCGGCCGTAGCAGATCTTTACAGAAATTTCAAATTTTTTGTCGGCATATCCAGTGTATTACAGCTAACTAGTGAAATATTGAGCTGTAGCTCACATTGGTTAAGGTAGTCGATTTTCGGCCAGAGGTTCACGGGTTCGAACCCTACCGTGGTTTGGACAGATAGGTAATATTATTAGGCCTCAAAATAATGACAATAATAATATTCCTAAATGCATCGAATTCCAAGTGGGTGTTAAGTAACACCTCATTTTCATTTCAACTAGTACAGCTGAATATAGTGAGCAACCTACTAAACTGTATTCACTTCCTTTCAGTACGCAACATAATCCTGACCACTTATCTAAAAACTAACTGACAATGTTGAAGGATTATTTATCACCATATATGACATGTCATTTAAAACGGTATAACAAATTTGTTCAAAATTCACTGATCATGTAACCTGTATGGTTCAAATTTATTTTATTTATTTATTTTTTTTTTTGCTTTATATTCCAAGAGGGACATATGGTTTCAGGCTGGAGGCTTGAAGTTTTGGTAACAGCGGTGTTTACCTTTATGGGGTGAGGTTTTTAAATCTAATGTCTAACCTTCCCTCTTAACCGATCTTACTACCGTTCCTAGAGAGGTTCAGGAGTGCGCTGGCCATGGATCGAACCCCGGACCACTTGCATGGTCGGAGAGCATTCTACCACTTTACCACCGACGCATATGATCCAAATATAGTGGTTTAATTAACTTACTTAGTAATAGTGAAAAAACGATACTGAGAAACTTTTCTCACACATAAACAGACACGTCGACTCAATAAAATTCACTATGGAATTAGAGAATGAAATTAGGGAACTGCCTATGTTAGACTGCAAACTACAAAGAATGACAGATGGTAGCATAAAAACAACGATATATAGAAAAACCACACACTCTGGAAGATTCCTTGATTATCACTCAGCTCATCCACTCACGGTAAAACGAGGATTAATACAAGATCTTGCAGATAGAATACGTAGACTTACAACAGCACCAGAGGACCAGTGTAAAGAAATAAAAGTCCTATTCAAAATACTTCTCGAAAACAACTACCCAAGAGAATTTATAAAAGGTAATATAAAAGAGAGGAAAAAGAGGGTAAAACCGGAGAATAACAAGATGGAAGACTGAAAAAGACAGTCACAATACCATATAAAAGTGGTACATCAGAGGCAATTCAAAGAAACCTCAGAAATATCGGCATTTGAACAACCTTCAAACCGACGAATCTAATCAAAAATAAAATAAATCCACTGAAAGATCCCATAAAAATGATGGATAAAAACAATTTGATTTACAAAATATCTTGTGCTGACTGTCCGACTAAATATGTGGGGCAAACGTCCAGACCAATCAAAATAAGAGTGAATGAACGCCTAACCAAAGGTCAACCAACAGGAACACAAGCCTACAAGAATCTTGAAAAAAATTCATCGATAGCTGCACATGCATGGGACGAAAACCACAATATCGATTGGAACAATGTGTGTATTCTAAAAACTAACATGAACAAATGGAAAGAAAGACTTATAACAGAATCGATATTCATTAAAGTCACACGGGATACATGTAACAAGGGTGACTCAGTACAACTATCAACAACTTGGAATATAATTCTGAATACAAGAAACATATTTGTGGTCGTCACAATAAAGGCCAGTTATGCGGCTTGACTTTTAATTCATAATATGGGAATATTTCACACTAACAAAACATAAATAAAACAATTCCAACAGTGGTGTGAACACGGGCAGTAATTTTGCTCAAAATATTACCAATAACAAAACTTATCATTGTGTGTAAACTATTGAAATATAATTATACTTTAGTTGATCTAATTCACATTGCTCAAACTTTTTACTGATATTAACTTACTTAGCTTCATTGATCACCTCTTGTTTATACTTATCAGATAAGGCGATTGACTCTAAGAGCATTTGATCAGCCTTCTTTTCAGCGTCTATTGCCTCTCGACGTCTGCTGGCAGCTGTTTCAGCAGCCAATTTTAATTCAGCCAGTTGAGCACGCTGTTTGACGACGTGAGCTTCTAACTGTTCAATTCGTTTCGCTACATAGTGAGAGACAAAGGAAAAATGTTGATGATGATATATAATACACGAATCCAATTACCACCTAATATACCAAACATACTACTGATATTTGGGATATTGTCAAGTGAAGTTACATTGGTAAAGTTATAATTAGGATGATAAAAGTTATTCCTATGTGACATTAGTCTGCCTAATCATAAAAATAAGATTGTTTCGAACAAATTTTCAACTTACAGAACCATTGGAAAACCAAGTGGGAGTACTGGACATCTGTTTTCCCTCGTCCTAGTTTGGGGCTCTTCATCAGCACGCACCCACCCACATTGGGGTTCGAATCCAGGACCTTCTGGTTACAAGATCAGCGAGCTCGTGGAACATTAGGCCACTGCTACCCAATCAAATGGCCAGTCCATGGGCTCTAACTTCTGCTAATTCATGACATAACGCGACTACTTCGCAATGTCTTCTTCGATGAGTTATTGCCTCACCTTCAACCTGTTGTACCCTACTAGTTGCAGCTTCCCAACAGAACCCCAGGTTAACTGCCTAAATAGGGCCAGTTGCTAGTAAGCATCAGATTCATTTTCAGGTACTGATGTTTTTTGTAGGGATTGTGTTTGATTGGTTGGAGGGTTTGGCATTTGAAGGGCATTCCCGCAAACGTGGAAAAGGTAGATATAATTTTTTTTTTTTTATTTTTGATTACAGCTTGATTCCACACTGTATTTTTGGTACAAGTATGGAATTTTCAGCGTGGATATCGGTAGCCCAAATTTTGCAGGCCAACCATAGATATCAGGTGTGCGTCGGCGTGGGCTCGAACCCCGGACCATGTGCATGGTCGGCGAGAGTCCTAACCACTGTGCCACCGACGCACCAAGTGAACAGTAAGTTATTAAACTAATAATGAAAAAAATTTCCCTACCTGCATTATCAATATCCTCATTTCGGTATGCGGGAGATCTCGCTTACTCAAACAATTATTGTCTGGATCATAGCAGAGAATAGGAAAGATCTTTGCCGCAAAAGAAAAGGGAAATTCACTTTGCAACATCACTTTCAGCACGCATCATCCTTTAAAGAAATTCTCGAATTCTCATCTTGTAAAATATTACCATAAATATATATTTCAATAAAAAAACTAAAAACCTTAGGGAAACACATCGTTCAGTCTTTGTAAAATAATGTTATTAATAATATTGTATTAACTGCATGGCCATATGTGAAGGGGCATTCACAACGGAAAACTCTACGAAGCGCTTGAAATGAAGACAGAGATAGGACAAAGCTGTCTTCTATCGCCGATGATATTCCTGATTGTAGGCGACTGGATCATATGGCAGACATGGAGTGCATGCAGAGTGAAAGTAAAGGAATAAATTTGACCGCGAAGGAGATTCTAGGAGGTTTGAACTTCGCGGATGACTTGTGTCTCATGTTGTAAGAACAGAAGACAAGGGCCAAGCAACAGATCCTTTATTAACTGACTCTGTGCTTCACTGCAGACTTTCATCAACAGCCACGCCTGCACTGGCTCCATATAGAGAAGGCCAGATGGACATAAAGGACTAGCAACAAGGAACTCTGAGAACCGGACTAATCAAGAACCCATCAACCAATAAATATGCCAAATGGTCTACGAGCTCGCTTGCCTTCTAACCAGAAGGTCCTGGTTTCAAACGCAGGGAGCGGATGGGTGCGCACTGCTGAAGAGTCCCAAACTAGGACGGGGTAAACAGCTGTCCAGTATTCCCAGTTGGTTTTCCAGTGGTTCTCTAACTGAGTCCCTTCATGAAATCCTTCGACCAATCAAAATGGAGAAGGATACGGAGACATATGGAGATATAAGCTGAGGAGACCATTGAACGACATCACACACACACAAAGCGGACCTTCAAGTAGAACCTGAATGGGAGACAACAAGTTGTGCATAGATACAAGGGTGAAAAGGAGGAAGGAGGTCGTATGAGGAGTAGATGTCAGCTAAAGAAGACTGCGGGGAACAGGATACAATGGAGTAATGCTGTTAAAGGCTTAACGTTCCACTCGGAACCAAGGTAATAATAATAATAATAAAGTTACATGACTAACTTTCAATGGCAGCAAGTCTTGACGTTTGAATATCTTTTACATGCTTCAGGAATTTCTGTCTTTCAATAATCATTTGAGTAATCTTCTGTTTTCTGAAAGAGAAACAAAAGTAAAAGCGACTTCAAAAACAAGGCTGACAAGGTAGGCAGATTTGTATGTAGGTATGTGTGTACACAGTAAGGAGATAAGAGGCCGGAAACACTACACCCAACTGGAAGGCAGTTAGTTATAGGTTAAAAATACATAAACCCACAGGAAACAACCATCAAGACACGGAAATAAGAACACAGAGTTCAGCGAAGAGTCACTTTGTATGTGTCTGTACAGGAACTCAACGACACCATATTTAGCCCGTGTTCTAAGTGACAGAGACAATCTTAAGCGCGAAACCTATGACTTGCTTTGTTGTTGATAACATAATTTTGCCTCTTTTATTTCTCTCTTATTTGTATTCTATAGTGAACAACCTTCTTAAACATACTTAGCTATCTAAATTATTAACATTGGCTTACTTTTTTTTGTACTTTACTCTATTCCTTCTTTTGTGTATCTGCTGGTTCCGACTATATTAGCACTATGAGTATTACAAAATTGTCCTGTCATTTTTTTATTTTGCCTTCACGTTCCCCAGTGGAACATTGGGCTTCAAGCTTGAAGTTTCTGTAGCAGTGTTTATTTTACAGGATGGGGTTGCTAGCCTCATGCCCAACCTTTCCTCTTTACCAGCATTATTTCTGGCTTAGCGAGGTAAAGAGTGCGTCAGCCGGGGATCGAACCCGGACGATGTGCATGGTCGGCGAGCATCCTAACCGCTATACCACCGACGCACATCCTGTCATTAACCATCATATAATATTAGTTTTGTGACTGTTTTTTTTGTTCGGCAATATTAACTGACAATCATGGTAGTGAATGCCATTATTACCATCTTAAAAATTTTGTATTATGCAGGATTACTCACACTACCACTACAAACACCGCATTAGTGCTGACAATAAAAAAACACAACCTGAAATGTTTATTTTATGACTGTTTAGTGTTGTGCAATCAAATTAACTGATCATCTTGGCGATAAACATTCTTAAGAACATTTCATAACTTCTAGTATAACTATAGCTTTACTGTCAGTACGCATAAATATATCATAGCTTCCACTACCCAATACTGAGATATTATTTTATGTTGTTTATTTTCCTTTCTACTTCTTGGTATGTTTTCGCATTTTTTTAAATTGTTTTTGCGTTTTTTCATTTTTGTTCTTGTTGTCTTTATATTTATTTTTGAAATACTCCTTTTAAATGTTTGATAAAATTAGATGGAATATTGTAGATATGTGCTGAAAATTCCACACTGTACCCAATAGTATTGTTTCTGGAATAAAGCAAAACTATTATTATTATCTTTCTAATATTTGAAAAGATTTCGTCACGAATCAACATCAGTTAAAGAGATCACTGTAAACCAGTGGGGGTACTGGACAGTCGTTCCGTCCTGAATTGGAACTCTTCATCAGCATGCACTCACAACTCCACCAGGGATGAACCCGACATCTTCAGGTTACGAGACCAACCTGGCTGACTATTTTCAGCCACCTTGGCCGGAATTTAGTGACCTATGGAATTCGAACTTTTTCAACTCATGATACAGACCTAAACCCAACCGATACCATCGATGAGTATATCCACTTCATTCTGAACATGGTAGCCCCCCCCCCAATAGTCACGTCTTCCTAATGTAACTTTCAGGAGATCCATCCAGTAGCCGCCAACTAGCTGGTAATCGATATTTGGAATACGGGTTCTTGTGGAGATTTAGATTAATTTTCAAGTATTGGTTTTGTAGGAATTTTTGGTTGATTAGTTGGAGGATTTCATCATGAGCTGACATCAGTTAGAGAACCATTGGGAGTAATGGACAGCTGTTTCCCTCCGTCCTAGTTTGGGACTCTTCAGCAGTACGCACCCACCGCAGCTGGGTTAGAACCCAGAACCTTCTGGTTATAAGTCCAGCGAGCTCGCAGATCATTGGGCTACTGGGACCCGATCCAATGGCCGGTGCATGAATTCTAACTTCTGCCAATTCACAACATAGCGCGACCATTTCGCAATGTCATCTTCGATGAGTTACTGCCTCATCTTTAGCCTGCTGTATCCTATTGGTCGCGGCTTCCAATTAGAACCCCACTGCTCGAATAGGGCCAGTCGCTAGTGAGCTAGACATTGCGAAATGGTCGCGGTATGTCGTGAATCGGCAGAAGTTAGAATTCATGCACTGGCCATTGGATCGGGTTCCAGTGGCTCAATGGTCTACGAGCTAGCTCGCCTTGTAACCAGAAGGTCCTAGGTTCGAACACCATTTGGGTGGGTTCGTACAGATGAAGAGACCCAAACCACGACGAAACGGCTGTCCAGTACTCCCAAATTTAGACATATTTTGTCACCAATCAACGTCAATGGAGTACTGACTTGACAACTGCTTCGTCCTACAATGAGAGTCTTCATTGAAATGAATCGAAATCCCTCAACAAAAAAATTCAACCTAAAACTCATGATTCAGCCGTCCAGCATTGATAAGACAGAAGGATTGAAGACAAGTAAAAATTAGGCAGTGTTGACGCTAATAGAAGTTTGAAATTTTATGATAAAGGCGGTGATTAATGGAAATATTTAGCACTAATCGGTCGTCAACAAGAAGAATAATGACAAACTGATACCCTTTTTTCTCTGTCTATCTTCATCCCCCCCCCCGTCACGTCAGGTGGAGTTTTTCATAAATACATTTGATCACCACAAACAGTCAGAAAATCATCACCATACAGGCAATTCGCCTCATGAAAGCTATCCACTACACTGAGACAGAGAGAGAGAGAGAAAGCGGGTAAAGAGAAGCCCTCAACTACTTTATTAATTAAATGGAAGAACAAGAACCTAGGGAAAAAGCTTGCACAACTAACCTTGTAGCCGTATGTTCAGTAGCTGTATTATTTAACAATTCCTGATATTTCCTATAAGCATCCTGATAGTTAGACACTTGTTCAATAGTCTCCAGAAAACATAAATTTGGAAATTTTGAACGAGTTTGAAACAGAAAATGCTGAAATTGGGATAATGAATAGCGTTTACAAGTCATCATTACTTCGGGGCATATAACAAAAATAAAGGAGTGCAAAAGACGACCCCCGAGGTTTGATGTTTAACAATGCATGTCAACTAAGTAGAACACCTTTTTTTATTACAGCTTGATTTCACACCGTATTTTTGGTACAGGTATGGAAATTTGGGCATGTAATATCGGTAGCCCAAATTTTTCAGCCTGACCATAGATATCAAGTGTGCGTCGGCAAGGAGTCGAACCTCGGACCATTTGCATGATCCGAGAGAATCCTAGCCACTGAGGCACTCTATAAAGTAGCCAATGTCTAACCATCCTTTCTGTTAACTCCATAAAATACAAAGACGTATGGGGCAATAGTGATTAGAAAAGGTATTATGGTATTTATGTTACTGTGAGCCGATAACATTCTGGTAGAATGCTCACCAACCAGTATGTAGCCCAGATTTGATTTCAAGCCAAAATGATGCGCCCGCAAACCTTGCCGCGTATTGCGAGCACGTTATTATTCAAGCACTATTGCTTTCCCCTTAGACTCTGGGGGAACATATAGCTTTAAAAGCACATCCCCATTTCACGCTGTTTTATGTAGTCCCGCCCCCCCCCACTAGTTGGCTCCACGAGTCATATTTGGCTTCGGCTTGACAGCCCAACTTGTGCGTGACGTCACTCAACGGTCTCCTCACTGCGTGTCCGGTTCATCTCCATTTTCTTCGCGTGTATCTCCTGGTTTATAGGTTTGTTTTTTTTCCTTCACTTTCTGCAGTGGAACATTGGGCTTCAAGCTAGAGGCTTGAAGTTTCGGTAGCAGTGTCCATTTTTACAGGATGGGGTTGCTAGCCTCACGCCTAACCTTCTATCTTTACCAGCTTTATTACTGGCTTACCGAAGTAAAGGAGTGCATCGGCCGGGGATCGAACCCCGGACCATGTGCATGGCCAGCGAGCGTGATAACCGCTATGCCACCGACGAACACAAAGCCAGCTCCTCGACCGGGAATCGAACCCGGGCCTTCCACGTGGCAGGCAGAGATACTCACCACTATACAATCAAGGAGCACAATACCTGGGAGTACTGGATAGCTGTCCGTCCTAGTTTGGGACTCCTCATCAGTACGCACCCCCGAGGTCCGAACCCAGGACCTTCTGGTTACAAGGCGAGCTCGTACACCATTAAGGCACTGGGACCTGAATTCACACAGTAATACACACACTGACTGAGCATTGGTTTTCAGGAGAACAAACACACCCATCCCTGCCTCTTGCGAGACGAGAGCGGCATGCAGGATCATTCTGTGGAGCAACCACTCGAGAGCCCTGTCCCTCGGTGGTTTATGAGTCTTTGGTTGGTTGGTCGCTTGGCAGAGTTCATCGGTGCTAATTGCTTCTGACCACCTTATCTTCTCACAGTATGAAGATAAGGTAGATGTCGATAAAAGCTTAAAGATTCAGACCCAAGATCTAGATACGTTACGTCGACGACACATTTTTAATAATCAAAAGAAACAAATTAGATAAAACTCACAACTTTATAAACAACGTCTTCAACGACATCAAATTCACAAGAGAAAAGGAATCCGAGAACAAAATCCAATTTATGAACGTCTTAGTCAAGCGAACAACCACAGGGGAATTAGAAACTCAAGTTTATAGAAGATCAACTGACAGACCAAACACTGCATTACAACAGCAACAATCCAATAACCCACAAAAGAAACTGTTTACAAACACTATTCAAGAGTCACACCCAGGACTCATTGCAACACTCCCAACTTAAGGAAAATTGAAAAATCAATATCTCATGGACGTCTTTCAAAAGAATGGATGTCCACGGAATTTCATCGGAAGACATATACCCCCTAAGCCAACCACCACCTATGAAATCAAAGGCCTCCAAAGAAAGCACAAAAAAATCGCCCCACCATAAGTAAAAGATATCTCAGAAATCACTGCAATACTCTTCAAACTTTTAGGAATTGATGTCGCACGCAAACCAACAAAATCACTTCACTCAGCTGGGTGAGTCTGTGTCAATCAAAAGACTCAACAACGAAAGAAGATAAAACCAACATCATCTACAAAATAAATTGTAACAACTGCGAAAAACACTACATTGGCCAAAGTGGACGTCCTCTTCGTCTTCGTATCCATGATCGTAAGCTAGCAGCCAAAAAACATGACATCCACTCCCTCATACCGCCTCACTACATACAGACAACCACAGACATCAATTAGACTGGGACAAGCAACGTTCAAATATTAGACAGAGGAAACAACAAGAATGCCAGAGAATTTTTAGAAGCCAGACTGGTATCCCAGTGAATCGTCAATCAATAGACACATCGAGTTAGACAAAATTTACCAGTCGATAAGAAGGAAATCTCACACACACACACACAAAGGTTCAAACATCAGGGCAAAGAAACAATCAGTACCAATACAAGTAGCTTAGAAGGTGTGGAAACATACAAAAACAAACAATCACGTTTAAGGTCACCCACCAGGAGAGATGATTAATAGGCTCGTGGAGAAATATAAAAGCTCACTTCAAATTGAAATAATATGCACTGAAGATGTTGCCTAGTGGGGCACGAAAAGCTTCGGAAATTAACTATCCAGCTCTGAAAACACAACTGCGTCAAAAAAAATTGATGAGTATTCATTCTACCATTGAGCCACTGACGCCATCATCATCACTAGGCTTACAAATGCATAAATCTAAGGCTACTGATAGAAAACCTCCAAAAATAAAAACAATTGATCAGACAACAAGAAAAAAAAAAGAAGGATGGCAAAATATCTAACCTTAGGACAAATTTTTTTCAACAACAGCATAGACTTTGCACAAAGAATAATTTCTTCACCAAATCCTTCTGGTAGCAGCTCAGCCAAGTAATTGCGTATAACATTTTCAATATCCACTGGTATGTTTAATACTTTTGCATAAGTTAAAATACGAAGGCTTTTAGTCCACAGTATATCACCTATAAATGATGAATAAGTAGGGGAATAAAAGTCATTTTGTGTAAAACAAAAAAATGAGTGAAAATAACTATAATAATATATTTGTGTAAATCTTGGGTACTGTGATAGTGTGTAATTCCATATTAATTTGTCTATTAGATATATCACACACAGTGATGAAAAACAGTAATATTTACTGGATGACAAAATTCCGAACACAATTTTTTGCTGTTCATAATTACCTCAATTATAACCACACAACTTCGAAACTTGAGTTTTATAGTTTTCTTGATTCTTTCCTATTTGTCGTCGCTGGGGGTAGTAGAATTCTTCAGATGTCCAACTGGAAAGGTGTTGAATCCTTTTGATTACACGTGTTTGCGGTTGATTCGACAAATAAAGCTTCCCTTACCAACCACTCCCTCCATCACCTTACATTAGATTTTACAAGTTTGATATTATCCCATTGTATCGTATGGTTGTGTGTAATTGCATATAGTGAGTGCTATAGCTGAACTATTCTCCAGATTTCTTGCTATCTTATTAGGGTCAACTAATCTAGATTTAGCTAGGCTTTCGTGTTCGCTAGTCTGACTGACTGATTGACTGACCCTGTTCAACTACTCTGCCCAATGTACTTGACCTGACAATCATTCCAACAGGGTATTAGATGAACTAAATTGTTTTGTTTAATTGGCTCCACAGGATTGATTCTTTAACTGACAAAAGTTGTTTCTAATTGAGTTTGTGAAATTGAATGTCAGTCATTTTTATTCCTGCGTTGTTAAGAATTCTCCGTGAGGTGGTTTCTGAGGTTCCTTCTTTGTGTGGAAGTAATACTGATGATTTAGATTCCTTATTGTTAGTGTTATCATTATCCTGTGCATGTTTGGCATGATGCATTTCGTCACTAATATTATTAATTTTATTCTTACATTTTTACATTAATTAACTTTCAAAGCTTCTCTTATTTGCCTTACTTCCTGTCTTAGATTTTCCTTGGTACTGCTTAGTTTTTGTACTCTATTACTTAAACGTTTCACCAATTCCATTTCTATTGATTTTGGGTGGGATGATCGGAAATCCAAATATCTGTTTGAATGTGTGGGTTTCCTTCTTTCCTTTCTACGCTACAAACTAAAATTGGAAGTTCTCCTTCCTAACATTCCAATTCATAAGTGAATTGAATTGCCTCTACCTTCGAGTTGATGTGTTAGAAAAACCTATTTATATCTTGTGTTCTGAGTACAATGAATGGGTCATCTGCATACCTCCAGCATGCTTTTTGGGTGGGGCTGAACGTTTCAATCACTATGTTTTCCCACCTATCCATGAATATATCTACCGCAATCGAGGATATTGGTCACCTCATGGCAACTCCCTCAGATTGTTTGTATACTTCCCCTTAGAATTTGAATACTGTGGAAGTCAGGCATAGCTGCGCTCCCAGCATTATGTCCTCTAGTGGCACTTTTGTTCTAAGTTCAAGTTCTTGGTCAGACATGAGTATGTTTCTGACCGCCTCTATAGCCACATTTATGGGTATACGTGTATACACACTGACAATGTGAAAACTAACCATTTTTTTCCACACTATCTAATTTTAAATTATTTAATTTATGTTTTAGTTCACAAAAAAGAGTGAAGAGGAGTGCCAGGGAAGACAAAAGAAAATATTATGAAACCATGGCAAACGAAGCGAACAAGCTGCAGGCAAAGGAGACCTCGCCACACTCTACCAAACAACTAGGCACCTTTCGGCAAACGTTCGACACAGATTAAGCCAGTAAAGGATGACAATGGAAAGTCAATCACCAAAGAGGTGGAACAGAGAAAGCACTGGGCTGAACACTTCAAAAGACTTCTAAACCGTCCGCCACCTACAACGCGCCCAACAATACCAACAACGGAAGCAGAACTACCAGTGAACATCGACCCCCCGACGAAATCAGAAGTCCTGAATGCAATCAAGATGCTAAAAACTGGGAAAGCACCAGGACCAGATGGAATCCCAGCAGAAGCTTTGAAAATAGACCCAGAGACAACAGCGGACTTGATGACGCCACTGCTGGAGAAGGTGTGGAAAGAGGGCAAAGTACCCGAGGATTGGAAGAACGGATACTTATTCAAACTACCAAAGAAAGGAGACTTAAGTCAATGTAAAAACTGGTGCGGAATTATGCTTCTGTCCATTCCAAGCAAGATACTAAGTCGCATCATCCTGGAGAGAATCAAACAAGCCCTAGATGAAAAACTTCGACCGGAACAGGCCGGATTCAGGAGAAACAAATCATGTATTGACCAAATAGCCACTCTACGGATCATCATTGAACAAAGCTTGGAATGGCAGTCACCTCTCTATCTCAACTTCATCGACTTTGAAAAGGCCTTCGACAGCGTCGATCGAGAGGTCATTTGGCAACTACTTCGTTACTACGGGGTCCCATCGACAATTATACATCTCATCCAACAGTTATACGACAATGCTGCATGCCAAGTAATCCACAACGGGAAACTTACGGAAGCCTTCGAAGTGAGAACGGGAGTGAGACAAGACTGCCTACTATCACCAATGATTTTCCTAATTGCAGTAGATTGGATAATGCGACAGACAACCGGCAATGAGGAAACAGGCATAAAATGGACTCACACAAAAAACTTGGAGGATCTGGATTTCGCCGATGATATATGTCTGATTTCCCATAAACTGGAAGATATGCAAGTGAAAAGCAACAAGTTGGCAGAAGAAGCATCAAAGATAGGACTTAAAGTGAACATAGATAAAACAGAGGTGATGAAGATTCCTGGCCAACATCAACAGCAACAACAGACAACAATCAGCCAGCATAAATGGGAGGAACCTGAAAGAAACAACCTCCTTCACCTACCTGGGAAGCATCGTCTCAACTACAGGCGGACGGAACTGACGAGGATATCAAAGCCAGAATCGGAAAAGCAAGACAAGCTTTCATTACTCTCAAATCTGTGTGGAGGTCAACAGCACTCAGCATCAAAAATAAAATCCGGATTTTCAACTCCAATGTAAAGTCAGTGCTACTATACGGATCAGAGACTTGGCACCGCGTCATAAAGAGCATCTCAAACAAACTTCAGACCTTCATTAACAGCTGTCTTCGCTCAATACTCAAGATCAGATGGCCAGAAAAGATCAGCAACAGGGATCTCTGGGAGCGAACCAATCAGGAACCGATTGTGAAACAAATAGTCAGGAAGAAATGGAGATGGATTGGCCATACTCTGAGGAAACCATCAAGTGACATCACTAGACAAGCCATTGCTCAAGTGGAACCCGAAAGGGAGGCGTCGAGTTGGTCGTCCAAGGGTGACTTGGAGGAGGTCATGCGAGGAGGAGATGAAAGCATGTGGACAGACCTGGAGCGGGGTGAAAAAGTTGGCAGAAAACAGAAGGCAATGGAGCTTCGCAGCTGAAGTCCTATGTTCCTCTAGGAACTAAAGGATACAATAATAATAATAATTTAGTTCACAAGAATGCAACGGTCTAGATTTTGAGTGGCTTCTAAGCAGATTTAATACCATAGGGATTGATAAAAAAAGGAAGCTTTATTTATCGAATCAACTGCAAAGACGTGTAATAAAATTAATCAGCACCTGTCCAGTCGGACATCTGGAAAATTCTACTACCCCCAGCGACGACAAATAGGAATGAATCAAGAAAACTATAAAACTCAAGTTTCGAAGTTGTGTGGTTATAATTGATATAATTATGAACAACAATAAATTGTGTTCGGAACTTTGTTATCCAGTAAATATAATACTGTTTCACTCAGAGGGTGTGATATATCTAAAAAACAAATTAATATGGAAAATAACTATTCATGAATATCTTGTAACTCTTGTATAACCCTACCACAGACACAACGACTTCAAGATAGATATGTTGATTTGGGTTGCAAATAACTAGGATGCGATGTGTGCTACCTATAAAAAACAGTGATAACCTAGCGATCTCGTTCACCCTTCAAACCATCAACAACGACGGGCTGTTAGGTCATTAGGATGTGATTCTGAAATCCAATACCGATGTACCCATGAATTCAGTCAAGTAGATGCCGTTCTCACGAAACCGGCAATTAGCCTCTGTCAAATAAAGATGCAATCATAGCAACAATTCCAATGGTATATCCTGAAGTCCCCTCCCTCACCTCAGCTATGAAAGTACTTTCAGCTTCCTGTACGCGTTATTCAGAAATCCACAAGGAAAGACAGAGTTATGCATTTCACCCTCAATCGATGGCCAACTAGTGACTTCCAACAAATGTCTCTATATATTGTAAATGATTGTCAAATGTTCTGACATCAAGACATTATGCCTTCATCACTTCAGAATCATATCTGAAGTCATTTTCATTCGGGTCATCTAGGTATTGCACGCACGAAATCAATCGCTCGTAGTTACGATAATTGGCAGCAGATAAACTGATAATTCCCCGACTATATGAAATAAATATGCAGAATAACAAAAGGCAGCCGATTACACTCCTAGACTAACATCAATTTCCTAACCGCAGTCTGAATACCTGTAGTATCGAGTTTACGTTGATTTATATCGATCAATAGATGTATACAATTGTCTAGTTTTATTCGAAGCCTAATCAAAATGGTTAGAAGTTGCTCACATCAATTCACCAACCACCAACCCTACTGCTGCTGCTGCTGCTTCAACCTACCCAAAAGGCTATAATCTTCAACAACGGTCCTCAGAGTATGCATCTTCATAACTGGGAGATTTTCATTTATTTCAATTTGGACTTTCCTGTTGACAGATTGAACCAAGATGTTCGACTGCTGTCAAAATGTTGACCCGATGTGCAGACGCTTCAACAATATCTGAAGATTCGGTGGATTGTGACAAGCAGTGGAATCCAAGATATGCATCTCGTCCTATTTCAGACTCGGCATCTGGATGTAAGTGGATTCTTCAGTTAGTGATGGTACTCCCACTGAGGCTAGAACCTAGTACTGATCGTTTCAAACGCCAAGGCGTTACCCACCAGACAACTTGTGTCACGAGAAGCACCTCTTGAGCAACGGGTATCAGTGTTATTATTTAATTCAACTTGGATATTCAGGCGACGAGTCCCAACTACGAACGAAATGCACACTCTGGATTCCACTGCTAGTCACCATCCATCAAATTACCGGAAGATTTTTGCTTTCAATATACCAAAGAGTACATATTATCACCAGTCGGCAAATCATATTAGTTCTAATGGGCTGATGTCTAACAGTACCTCTGTATGACCACAAAATTCCCGTGACGTAGATGCATCCACTCTTTGTGACTTGTAATACCAATTAAAACTATTTTGTTCTTCCATATCAAAATCTCCGTTTTACTATCTCTCTTTTGTATTTCTTTTTTACTTTCTTCTCTTGCTTTGTGTGTTAAGTGATGTGTGGCGATTCGAACTGCTACACATCGGTGCAAAGTTCTACGCTGAGACCAGTCAGTCAGTCAGTCCGTGTGTTTTGAGGAGAAGACAGTGCTTAGAGTATACACGGGATGTATAAATGCTGGCTCAATTGACTGAGAAATATAATCGTTATTGAAGGAAGATCTTATTAGGGCTGCAAGTATACGAATACCATTATTTTCGTAGCACTGGTTGAGTAGTACTAATGACACTGACAAATGCATAGTGCAAACTATTTAATTTATTATTTTATTCATTTGCCTTCCAAGTGGAATATAGGGCGTCAAGCTTCAGCTTCTAAGTTTCAGCAGCAGTGATGTTAGTTGCTTAAGGGGAGTTTGGGTTTTGCAAGCTTCACGCTCAAACCTTCTCCTCACGCTTTACCGGCTTTACTATCAGTTAAGCGAGGTTTAAGAGTGAGCTGGCAGAGGACCAAACCCAAGACGACGTGTAGCTTGTAAAGCAAATGTAGGGCATATATTTTTTGGGTAAAATAGATAAGTTGAAGCATTACATCATGAGCTGACAGCAGTTAGAGAACCATCGGAAAACCTACAGGGAGTACCGAACAGCCGTTTCGTCCTGGTTTGGGACTCTTTGGCAGTATACACCCGCTGGGGTTCGAACCCAAGTCCCTATTCAGGTAGGTAACCTAGGCTCCGGTGGGAAGCCGTGACCAGCAGGGTGCAGCAGGTTGGAGATTAGACAGAAACTCATCGAAGAAGATATTGCGAAGTGGTCGCGCTATGTCACAAGTTGGTAGAAGTTAGAATTCATGGGCTGGTCATTGGATCGGGTCCCAGTGGCTTAATTGTCCACGAGCTAGCTCACCTTGTGACCAGAAGGTCCTGGGTTTGAACCCATGTGGTGGGTGCGTGCTGATGAAGAGTCCCAAACTAGGGTGAAACAGCTGTCCAGTACTCCCCGCTGGTTTTCCAATAGTTCTGTAGCTGATGTCAGTCAGCTCATCATGAAAACCTCCAACCAATCAAACAAAATCCCTACAAAAACCAATACTTTAAAATAGATTAGTCAACTGTGATAAAAGTTATCAACGCCTCTGTTAGTTGAGAAGACTGTATATGTTCTATTTCAATAAGTTGTATTAGTCGAAACAGGATAAATGATAGAAGAAATCGAAGGAAAAAAATACTCCCCTATTCATATGAATCATCGAAGAAATGAATACTGCGACCATGGGACTGACCGATGAAAACATAAAGTGAGATGTCTTAGAATCGACTATGACAGTGTAGATGCTGTTTCAGCCAGATCTTTTTGTTAATAATAATAGTACCACCATAATATCAGTGTCTAGAAATCGTAACACTAGATGCCTTTCGTATACTGATAAAACGATACTATGTTACCCATAGGATTAGCTCGCATAGGTGGTGGTCAGTAAAGACAATTAAGAAAGCATAGTAACAGAATAATTAATTGAAAAATTCCTCCTAAGTAGCTTGTTGACAACACTGATCCTTATTTGAATATTTCACCTGATTGTGTGTAGTTATTACACCCCCCCCTTTATCCCCTGATCCGTGTGTCATTATTCCGACGTGTACACATCTTCATCCGATTTAATCCTTATTACTGGTATTCGTTTGTGTTCGATTGCTATTCTTAATGCTTCACTTTACTACTGGATGATAGTGAGTTGTTGAGGATAACGCGGTGTTTTACTCTCGCGATTCCGTTTGGATGAATTCATATTTATGCCGAGAGGACTACATGACCTTAGATGGTTGACAGTTAACGACAGAGATTTGATCCATCGTGTTGGGGATATATTATGTGATTCTCTGGGATTTCTTATGATCGTTCATTTTTTTTGTTTTGGTTAACTAATTTTGTTGTACAGTTTACTTATTTTGTACTTTAGAAATCCTTTAACTGTACAGCCGTCAACCGTCATTGTTGAGGTAGTTTTGCGTTTTTAATGTTATTTGTGTGGTGAGAGCTGGCTGTTAGTCAAATCGGTGGACAGTAATTTACGCCAATGTTTATTTCCCCAATGTTGGCCGTGAGAAAAATGAGAACAGAGACTTTGCGTAGGCGGATATAGTTAACATATAGATGATCTGACATTCAAGAAACAGTCACAAAGAGATGCAAGGTTAACTTTCTGTGAGAAACAACCAGTCAGAAGACAAAATCAACAAAATTAAGCTAAAAAGGAACAGAGATTTTTGGCAACTAACCTTGTTTTTCTAAATTTGTCTAGAAACAATCAGATTGAATTCATAACCAACATCATCATCATGAATACCATCTAAGGAAAAATTTTCAAGAAACCTAAAAAAAGGGAAATTTTAGAGAAAATACAGTAAGAATTTTAATTTCAATCAAAATAATTTCGTTGATAAAACTTGATAAAAGTTTCAGGTTGTATCATCATCATCATTAGCTGATTTCACGAACTAGTAGGAGTTAGAATTGACAGCCGAATCTTCCACAGGATAGCCTGCTAACTTGAAATAAGGATCCTGCGTTCGATTCCCAGTGGTGGAGTCACAGTTGCGTACCACAGAAGATAAACAAACAACAGAATGAGAGGAGAGTTCAGAACTCCCTAGTTTTCAAAGGTTTTCTGACTGAAACCGGTTCGTGGCGCCCTGCAAACAAGCACTTGAAGATTAGTCCAGTGCTCATTGGTAACTGACTAAAAGATGAAGTTGCCTGAAGTCCTATCTCGTTGACTTAGACTATGCAGACGATATAGTCCTTCTAGGCGAGGACGCTGAGAAAATATGGCAGAGTCTTCTGAACACCTTGAGCTGCAATCTACGAATGTTTGGCATATTCGCTCCTGTCAGACAAATGTAAGATGATGTTACAGGACTGGACTACTCTGACTTCTAGTTTAGAAATAGGGAGTGAAGTGGTAGAGAACGTTGAGCGCTTCACTTACTTGGGAAGTACCATCAAGCCAACGCCAACGGTTTGATCTCTGATGAAATCTCAGTACGGATACAGAGGACTAGTTTCGCATATGCCAGTTTACGCCATCTCAGGTTTAGTAGACTTGATATCCGGCTAGCTATCGACCAAAGGGCGAATGTACTGTTCAGCAGTCTGCTCTGTCCTCCTTTATGGCTGTGAGCGAGACCTGGCCATTGAGAGTGGAAGACATGAAAGAGAAGGCTAGCTGTCTTTGACCATAGGTGCCCGTGCTCTATCTCCCGTGTGAAGTGGTAGGTGTAGTAGGGTGAGCAATATTGAGGTTAGGCATCGGTCGAGTGCTAGGTAAGGAGGGGAAATCAATCGACGAGGTTGTGAATTTACATCGACTGAGATGGTTAGGACATATGTTACGTATGCCTAGTCATCGCCTTCCTCGACAATGGGCAATGTTAGCTGACTGGCATAGAGTCAGGCTGGAAAAGAGCTAGCGGCGGTCAAACCAAAACATGGCTTCATCAATCAACGAAATCGACAACACTTAGTTTAAGCCAGTCACGTAGGAAGGTGTAGACTTCTTATCTTGTTGGGGTCTTCGGGAAGGTAAACACCAATGAAAGCTGGAGACAATTGATGATATGGCTCAAAATCGTTCCCAAAGACGCAGATGCATCCACTCCTTGTGACCTATGATTTCCAGTGAAACTATATTGTTCTTCGTTATTACTATTCCTGTTGTCGCATATCCCTGTCTACCGTCTCTATTACGCACTTCTTCTACTTTCTTCTCTTGCTTTGTGTGCTACAAGGAGTGGAGTGTGGTGACTTGAACTGCCGCACATCGGTGCAAAGTTCTATGTCGAAAATAGACAGGCAGACAGAAGTTCTGGTGGGAAGTCGTAATCACCAGGACTCAAAAAGTAGGGAGTGAGGACAGATATTCACCGCCACATGTCACGAAATCACTAGAAAAGTTATTATTCATGCAATGGCAATTGGATTCCATCCCAGTGGCTGAATGGTCAGCGAGCTCACCCACTAAAATGAATTTCCTGGGGTTCGATCCCCGACAAGCAGTCCTACACTAGGGCAACACAACACTCCAGTACTCTCCCTATTGATTTTCAATGGTTCCCCAAATAATGTCAGCTTTTGATCTAACTTGAAACTTGCTAAACTGTGAATGTGTCAATTGATTTTAATTATAAAATAATAATAATTTACTTTATTCCAAAAACAGTACTTGTGATACAGAATGGAATTTTTAGCATTAATCGCAATATTGCATCTAATTTCCTCAAATTATAAATACAATTAATCACACTGAAAATCTTCCACACTTTTAATAGAGGTAATGTCAAAAACATGCAGCATATAAAATGGAAATAATAATAATGATAAGAGCTAAGGTAATAATAATAATACAAGTGAAAATTGCTGTGGGCTTGTTTCACACAGTATTGTCAATGCGGCATAGAAATCCTAGCATGTTTAAAAAATATTGAATATAATATTCTCTTTACATGATATGGTGAAGGGAGAAGCAAAGATTACAGCAGTCATAGAGGTAAGTTGGTGTTTGCAATTATGAGAGTAACACAAACAAGCAACAGCACCATAAATATAATAGAAATAATAAAAGTAAAACTTGTTTATTTACTAGATGAAAAAAGGTTAGTTAATTCCTGTCTGACACTATTTTCATCACATAAAATACGTTCCAAGTATGGTATCATAGAACTTTTACACTTAGAGGTGCGAGCATACAGTTTTCTGAAGTTACTTCTTGTTCTACCTGAGGAGATGCAAGGTGAAAGCTGAGGGTCAAGTGGATACTCCAAGTCAGACAAAATCACTCTAGCAAATTTATTGCATGAAGTCAAGTGCCTATCGACAACGACGTTAACTATGTGGTCCACTGGGACACCACTCATCCTACTTACCGTCTTCAGCATTCTACGAATTGTGACATAGTCCTTTTTAGGAAAACCAGGAAAGAATAAGGGTGGACAATAAAGAAGAATACGTAGGACACAAGTTTATGAACTCTAAGAGGAGAGGTTGAGTTATACCCGAGTGCCTTAACTTCTTAATGTAAAATGTCAGGCTGAATATTTTACTGGAGATCGCTAAGAAATGGGGAGTCCAGGAGAGATCAGAAGAGAGAATAAGTCCAAGATACTTAATTTCTGATTTGATTCCTATATCACTGTCGTCAATTTTACAACTATCATGAGAATCGATGACTTCTTTTAACTGTCTTTTACATCTTAAGCTGAAATTAACAGTTTGACATTTAGAAGGATTCAGTTTAAGACCGTTAGACACAGACCATTTGCTGACTCCCGACAGAAAGCTATTTATTTTGGTACAATCTGGCTGGGAGGTAACAGCCATTGAAACCGTTAAATCATCAGCGTACTTCACAAAGTTTATTTCATCAGAGTGAGGCAAGTCATGTAAGAAGAAAGAAAAAAGAAAAGGAGAAAGGACAGCGCCTTGAGGACACCAGCTTCAGTAGACAATGAAGTGGAAGACTTCCCTTTATACACGGTGTACTGCTTTCTTTCTGAGAAATAGGAATGTAACCAGTTAACAGTCCAACATTCTGTTTGACTTACAGCAAGTTTATTTAATAAGATGTCCCTAGGGACCGAATCAAAAGCAGATATACCTAATGATGAATTTTTGTGTTACACATTATCTCATGTTTGAAAAATACAAGATACTGATGACTACATTTAAGGGTGAAATGATTGTTCAACTTTTACAGCCCCTCCCTTCAGAACTGATTCAGTTGTTAAGTGAAACACAAGTTTTAGACATACATAATCACACAGAGAAAAACAATAGGAGGATTCAAAATCATATGGAATAGGCGAAAGTAAGAAAAATCGGGTTAAACCGCTAATTGACCTGATAAGTGCTCATATAATGCATACCGGCAGACAAACACGCAAATTGGCATAAAACTTTACTCAGAAATGCACCTGATCAATTTGTTGTACTCTGCCAAAACATAAAATATATATATAAAGGCAAAGAATAGAGATACAACGATACTATCATACGAAGAAACATGTTTGTGAGAAAAAGACAATAAGTTAATGAACGGTGAGTTTATTCGACGTCTCAATGACGATAACTACTCCATGTAATCAAGTGAGTAATCCTCATAGATTACATTGTTATTGTCTAAGCTTTTGAAGTGAAGATAGGAGTAAGAAAAGGCTGCCCTATATCACCGATGATATTCCTGATTGTAGTGGACTGGATCATACAAGACTTTGTGGTTAGCAAAAAGCCGGGCTTATTTTGGACTGACGAAAAGATACTGGAAGGTTTGTATTTCGTGGATAACTCACGTCTAATGTCACATAAACTCGAAAACCAACAGACGAAAACCAAAAGGTTGGCAGAAGCGGACGTTAGCGAAGACAGGACTTCCAGCGAACATGGTCAACGCGCTCTACCACTTCACTCCTAATCTTCACGCTAAGAATCGATGCAGTCCAGTCCTGTAGAATTATCTTACATTTGACAGGAGCGAATCGCATGCTAAGCATTCGAAGATTGTTTAGCATAAGGGACAAGATCGGGACTTGCAGCATTAACGTCAAGTCAGGGCTTCAGAGAATCAGTGCACATGTCACCAAAAGTATTTCTAACAACATGCTAAAGACTTTTACCAGTTACTGTCTTCTCTCCATATTGAAGATTAGATAGCCAGCTGGAAAGGATGAGCAATTAAGAACTCCGCCACAGCCAGTAAACCAACGAAAACCTATTGCTCGACAAATATGCCGAAAAAATTGTTATGTACCCGTCGCTGAATTATTATTATGGACTGGTCGAGAAACTAATAGTCCTGACGCGAGAAGGCGGAAATCAGAAGACCACTAGGTTTGCGATGATACTTCTATTGTCCAAACACAAGGAGACGAAAATAAATGGTCTCACACCAAAGTGGTAAGTAAGTCAAGTAGTTGTAAAGTAAAGTAGTTCACACAAATTGTGAATGCGAATATATATAATAATTCAGACAAGCGTGGGAAAAATCATTAGACAGTCTTAACATGAATGGCTAATTATAATGGAGTGTCGATCCAATTATACATAGCGAATATAGCAGACATGCCAACAAACATATATGGATATATGTCACCAAGCAACGGACTGTCAACAAACACTCATATTATATATAATATAATATAAGGAGAATACACATTATTAAAGGAGACAAGTCCATACAAGTGAAGTGGTCACAGACTAACCGAGCAAACAGAAAGAGAGACCAACATGCACACACACACATAAATATATATATGTGGATACATATCACCTCCCCTTTTGAGAAGATGGATGATTAGTAGGATGTTTACCTGGGGGTTTATCTGGGACCTTTGGGCTTGTTGTTGACGCCTGTCGTTTCGTCTGATTGTTGGGTTTGCGGCTTCGGCTCCGTCCGGAATTGTCTAGCATTTTATGCTTCTTCACTGTATTGCGTAGAGAATTTAGTGGGACATCAGCCAGATGCAAACGATCGAACCAATCAAGTCCCAAAACATTTAAATCATTCTTCGTGACGTAACAAATTCCTGTGAATTTGGTATTGCGGAAGGAAACAGAACATTTGAGTTCACCAATTAGTTTGAGCCGCCCACCACAGGCGCTGAGAAGAGACTGGGAAGTATTGGTGATAGGTGGTCTGCCAATATAATTCCAAAGTTTCTCTGATATAACAGTAATATCAGAGGCAGTATCTAGCTGCAGACGAGTATCATGACCATTCATCTGAAGGTCAATATATTTCCGCATAGCTGGTGTTGTGACTTGACAGGTTGCACGTAGACTCAGTGATCTTTTTGGAGATTTAGGACCGACATTTTGTTGAGCTTTTGCTGGATTATGATATCTGAGTTGGCGTGGCTGACAAAAACCATTTTTGTGACCGATGATCTTGCACTTGCTGCAACGATGATTTTTGTATGGACAAGACTTTACAAAGTGCCACGCGCCACAATGCCAGCATGGTGATGGTGGGGTCTTCTTTGCAGTATTTTGTGAAGTTGGACGAGTATCTGTAGATTTCCGCGGGACATTAGAAGAAGGTGGGTCAGGAGTAGCTGATGAGAGATTTTTGCTCTTGCGTAATGCACGAATATCAGAGCTTCTCGGAGGTGTTGATTCGACCAGGTGTGTGTCTTTCTGCAGATTAATCAGCCGTTGATATTCATCAGCTATGTCATGTAATGTTAACTTGGGATTTTGTTCTAGCTGATTGAGCAGTCGAGTTCGGATATCTGTGAAACGAGGAGATTGGAGACTGCATATGAGAATCAAGGCTTTGAACTGATCATCTGTTAAGGACCTGAGTCGAAATCTCTCACATTCTCGGTTGACTGTGCCAACGTGAGTAAGAAAATCATCATTTTCATTCATTGCCAGCTTGAGGCAACGATAACGTATACTGAATAATGAGGAGTGGTCTCCGAAATGTTCACGCAGCAACTTTATTGTATCATCGAAACAATTGTCACGTGGTTTCTGTGGTAAAATTAGGTTGCAGTACCGTTCATATTCTGCCGGACCCAATTTACGTAGCAAAACTCGCACCTTCCAGGCATCGTCTTGTGAGGCGAGATCAACAGTGAATAAATCCTCATAACGTTGATACCATGTGTCAAAAGTGACATTAGCCTCTGGGTCATAATTGAACTGTGAAATGCTGTTCACAATTCCGTCGACAGATGGTAGCATGGTATGATTGGGATTGCTTGAAGGTGAAGCTGGACCAGTCTGTTGGTTGACGAACATTTCCATTAATTTCAATTGTTGTTCAAACAATAATTCCAATTTAGAATAATCCATAGTAAATTGTTATGTTGTTGCTGCTGTGTGGTTAATAGTAGTTTTCCCCGTCGCCATGTTATAGTTTTCCCCGTCGCCAAATTGTTATGTACTCGTCGCTGAATTATTATTATGGACTGGTCGAGAAACTAATAGTCCTGACGCGAGAAGGCGGAAATCAGAAGACCACTAGGTTTGCGATGATACTTCTATTGTCCAAACACAAGGAGACGAAAATAAATGGTCTCACACCAAAGTGGTAAGTAAGTCAAGTAGTTGTAAAGTAAAGTAGTTCACACAAATTGTGAATGCGAATATATATAATAATTCAGACAAGCGTGGGAAAAATCATTAGACAGTCTTAACATGAATGGCTAATTATAATGGAGTGTCGATCCAATTATACATAGCGAATATAGCAGACATGCCAACAAACATATATGGATATATGTCACCAAGCAACGGACTGTCAACAAACACTCATATTATATATAATATAATATAAGGAGAATACACATTATTAAAGGAGACAAGTCCATACAAGTGAAGTGGTCACAGACTAACCGAGCAAACAGAAAGAGAGACCAACATGCACACACACACATAAATATATATATGTGGATACATATCAAAAATGGAGATGGATCGGACACCATCCTAAGAAGACCGCTGAGTGATATGGCGCGTCAGGTCAACCATCCAGTGGAACCTGAAGTGGAGACGAGTTGTGTGTAGAGATGCAAGGGTGCTATGGAGATCGTACAAGGACGGAATGAGCAATCGTGAAGCCAGATAACGGGGAACAGGGCAATGTACTAATTATCCAAGCTTTATGTTCCACTCTGAACAAAAGGGAGTAATAATAATGGAAAGCTTCAAATCCCTGGTCACTTTAAATTCTATGAAAGAAGGACTTGTGACCTAACAACTAAGAGCACATTCTAAGAAAGTACCAATTGTGGAAGGTCCTTGAGTCTTTAGCAATGCAACACTTGTCAGATAATGATCATAAAATTGATGAATTAGAATCATTTAAGATAGTCAAAGTTTAATGCAACTCCAGACTATAAGATTATATCACTGAAACAGTGGTCATTAAATAATTAAAACAAAAGTTATGCATTCATCAGAAAGAAACGATTGCTAATTTTTTATTGGACACTGACTAGTGTCATGTATTTAGTCCCTTGTTTGGTGCAGACTGAATCCTATCAGTCAGATTCGCAATGTGGCCACCATGACACTAGGTGGCTCTCCATCACGGTGCACTCAGAATTGTTATTATTAGATGGTTGAAGGCAATCGGCAGGAAGTCTTGGACCAAGGTTTCGAGCTTGTTGGCACTCACCAGTCAGCAAGATATATCTGTAGTCTTGAAGGAACTTATGTCCCTCCTAAGATTAAAACCCGTGTCATCCTGTGCTGCAATCAGAGACATTAACACAAGCTGCAGGTTCGAACCTCAGAAGGGACGTGAGTTCCTTCGAGGTCGCAGATACGCCCTTCTGACGAGTGCCAACTAGCACGAAACCTAGCTCTAAGCAGGGTTTTCAGGCGATTGCCTTCAACCATCTGAAATCAACAATACTGACTCCATTGTGATAGCAAGCCACGTCCAATGGTGACCACATTGCAAACTTGACTGATAGAATTCAAACTGCACCAACAAAGGACTAGATACATTAAACCGGCTACTAACTAGTGTCCTATCAAAGTACACATTTACTCTATTCCATCTACAGTCTCCCTTAGTTGGCTGCACGATTGTCCATGGGCTCTTTTACCTTCCCTCGCACGATCAACTCCGTATCACCATCGAACCTACGCCCATCTCGCCGTCGCCCATTCGGGTTTCATTGAAGTACTTGCCTTGGGAGTGATGTCGCTCAACGGTCTCCTCAGTGTGTAACTGATCCACCTCTATTTTCTCCGACATGTGTGTTGGGCAATAAGATTCTTAGTTGGTCCATTGCCACAGTTCCCTACTGATATATATCCATATAATATGTGTGTTTTGTTTGACAGTCTGTCCTTGGTGACATATATCCATATAATCAAATTATTGTTATGTACTGGTCGAGAATTTAATAGTCCTGACGCAAGAAAGACGGAAATCAGAAGACCACTAGGTTTGCGATGATACTTCTATTTTCTAAACACAAGGAGAATCAATGTCACACAAGAGTGTGAGAGCAAAAATATATATGAATGTCCGAACAAGTGTGTGAACACAAGTGTGAGAGCGAATATTCAAAATGAACAAATCAATAGACAGTCTTAACATGATTGGCTAATTATAATGGAATATCGATCCATATATACATAGCAAATATACAGACTGTCAAACAAACACACATATTATATGGATATATATCACCTACTGTCAACCTTTCTTCATCAGCCAGGTCAAACTCCTTGATCAATTTAGTCGGAATTCAATGGTCCGTGAATCCCAACCTCTATCAATTCGCTTTTTCGAAAGCGCCAGTCATTGTCATTAGCAGCGAGTATTCATCCGCACACCCGACTTGGTGGATCCCCGTGGTCATGACTTCACAATAGAACTCTAAGCAACCTCGTCCTATAGCCAGCCATTAATGGTTTTTTTATTCCTTTATGTTCCCAGTGGAGCATGGACTTCGAGCTAGAGACTTGAAGTTTCGGTAGCAGTGGTGTTTATTTTTACGGGTTGGGGTTGCTAGCCAGCCTCATACCCACCCTTCCCTCATAAACAGTTTTATTACTGGCTTAGCGAGGTAAATGGGGGGGTGCGTCGGGCGGGTATCGGACCCCAGACCGTAAGCATGGTTGGCAAGCATCCTATCGCTGTGTCACCTACGCCATTAATGAGCATCAGATTACTTATCAAGAGTTGTTTCGTAGGGATTGGATTTATTTTAGGTCTGCCCATGGATTGATTTCAGATATTTGGTGGGGACTTCACTCATAGGTTTTAAGCAATAGGTCTTCGGTAGAAATAAGAGTAATAACTCGCCTACTTCAGCAGTTTGGACGACCTAGATTACCTAGATTTAGCTCCTAGACTAGTACACACACACACAAAAGAAACGCTTTGTAAGTATAAACCATCTGACTGGAGTTACAGGAAAAGACTATTGACACAACATTATTGAGTATGAACTTCAATACTCACCTGATCAACGGTTCAGCAGCCTCTTTGAAAAGAAATCTTGCTATCCTTTCAGATGAATGACACATACACTGGTCAGCTTTTGACATTAAATATGCTAATAATCCTAATCCATTAAGTTTTAGCAAAGGATACGATGACTGTTCGGCGTTGAGCATGCATAATTCACCAACAAACCTATGAAGAGAAACAAATTAATTAAAAATATGCATATGAATATCCCGTGTTGATTGTTAGAACACTTCACTTACTACTGACAAATCAAAGTCACAATATGCAAATTAGTTCGCAATTTACAGTCCAAGGTATGGGATTTCACTCCTTTGGAAGCCTGGATTATTATTCACAAAACACAAACTCACTAGCCTGCATAGTAGTGCTAACTGTAGTAGAGAAGAAAGATGAGGAAGGTGATGTGAGCAAAGGGGAATGATGCTCAGGAAGGCTTCGTGTGCTTTTGGAAGTGTGTGAGCAGTTGATACTTCCCGGCTGCCCACACCATGCAAGTTGATTGATTCTTCAGGTACATGAAACGGAGAGAGAGTTAGTGTTGCACTGCCGCACATTTGTGCAAAGTTCTATGTCGAAAACAGACAGACAGATAGACAGTGTTGCGAGACCGCAGAGCACAAGGGACAACTGCTTGAGGCCGGCCGGTCACACACGGTCTGTATGAACTGGTTTCTGGGATTGGTTCCGTATTAGTAAACTTACCACCTGTTACGGACCACTGTAGGGTATTCCGGATGTAGAATTTTCGGGGTTGACGTTTTCTAACTTCTTCTCTGCGGAGTGGAGAGACTGCACAGCTGGCTGGCATGCTGGTCATCTGAGGGAAACACCTCACTGCTGTTACATCCCTGTTCTCTAGCAGTATGACTTCGCACTCAGACCCCCAGAATAGTGTAAGAAAGATTCTTACACAATGCCGGTAACTGCTTTTAGTCTAATCTCTATCCTAAAAACCTTCCTGGCATGGTAGGACCTGCAGGAACATTGGTTCCAGTCAGTGTAGCTTGTTGGGTCATCGCGATGTGCAAGCCCTACCACCACGTCAAGGTAGCAACTATCGGTCGGGCGCAGAGAATGAATAATACCAATAATCATCTCCTCCCTTCAAGGTAAACTAAAATAATGGCGTGTAGCTTCTAAAATTGCATACTCGCAACTTTGCAACTAAATTATCATCTGTTGGGTAATATTGCGTGCCAGACCATCACTTGAGCGGAACCTGAATGGGAAACGAAGGACTTCTGAGGGTGACATGGAGGCAGTCCTGTGAGGAGGAGGACAGACACTAGGCAATCGTGAGGCCGGCTAAAAAGAACTGGAGAGAATAAGACAATGTAGAGATGTGCTGTTGAAATTCTATGACCTACTCGGAACCCAAGGGAATAATAATATTGAATATAACCAACATAGCAAAACAATTACCCTCCTAACACACAACATACTAAGTGATCAGCTTGATACAATAAGTGGTCGGCTAGATAGCAAGCACAATTGCATAAAGCTATACACTACTAATTCACTGGGATGAGTAGATGTATACCACTTACATCCCCCGGTGTTTGTTAACACCGGATCAGATCGAAGTGATCTAAACGAGGCACGGCCGTTCCGCGCGTTTGGGGACTGAGCTCATATCAGTGGAGTAACCGGTCTCACTCAATCGGTAGTCACATGAAGGTTGGAGAATGTTGGCGATATGGCTCAAAATCGTTCCCGATGGCGTAGATGATCTCTCCCATATCCATGTAAACCATCATGGTTTTCCATTTTACTATTCTTTCTTTCCCCCTCTCATTTCTGTGTCCATTATCGTCCTTTTGAATCCCTTTTTTTTTCTCTTTTGTCTTCATTTGTGTGCTACAAGGAGGGAGGGCGGCAACTGAGCTGGTGCATTTCTGTGCAAAGTTCTGTGTTGAAACTAGTCACAGTCTGTCAGTCAATCAACATCATACGGGCGCATTTTATCCCTCTAAACTAAACATGAGCATCATATAAAAGTGCTGAGGCAACCAAAAAAAGGTTCGGCAGCTACGTGTTATCAACGTAATGAGGAATGTATTCCATACTACTAAAATGTACTTAAGTTCCAAAACTGCCTGATTGACTGGCTTCAAGGTGGAACTTTGCACAGATGTACAGCAGTTCGAGTTGCCACACTCCCTCTTTGTACAAGGCAAGAGAAAAGAGTAAAAAGAGATTCAAAAGAGGGAGAGAGAGAGAGAGGTAATAAACAAAAGTTTGAGGCAAAAAGAATAGTAATATTGTAGAATATAATTTTATTGGATATTATAAATCATAGAGAGTGAAGAACAGTTTAGAGGTATATCACCGATTGTTCCCAGCCTTCATTGGTTTTTATCTCCCCGAGGACCCCAGCCAGGAGGCTTACACCCTCCTACGTGGCTGTTTTAAACTAACTCTTGTGGATTTCATTGACTGATGAAGCCATGTTTTGGTTTAACCGCTTTGACTCTTTTCCAACCTGATTCTATGTCAGTCAGCTAACATTGCCCGTTGTCGAGGAAGGCGATGGCTAGGCGTGCATGTGTAACATACGTCCTAACAATCTCAGTCGATGTAACTTCACAGCCTCGTCTATTGATAGCCATAAAGGAGGACAGAGCAAACTCCTGAGCAGCATACACGCCCTTCGATCGACAGCCTTAAATCCCAAAACACTAAATATAAGTTACTTAACACAACGAACAACCACTATTGCAAAATGCATTATAAATATTATTTGATGCTTTTACAACGAACTTACTTTATCTGCTTAGAAAGATATGATAGGCGATCGGTAATCCAAAGGAGTCCATAGTCATTACTATCTGACAATTTTGATAGAATTGAATACAATGACTTCTCGTATACACCTAACCATGTTCTCAATCCTTGAACAAAACATGCCCAAATTTTTCCCAACCATATAGCATTATCGCGAACAGATGCTGGAGAGAGTGAAACAACATGATAAGCAAACCAACAGAGTTTTTTGTAGACAGTTCCAGCTTTCAGATGACTGTCAACAAAGTGTGATAGACCTTGAGATGAAATGCCCATATTAAGCGAATCTTGATTATTTGGTATCCATACAAAGTGACCAGTTAACGGATGAGAATAGTACGGCGTCTGATCACTATTCTGATCAGTAGTAGTAGTAGTAGTTGGTATGAAATCAGAAAAATAATGAAAACTTTCCGATTGAGTACCCATTCTCAGAAATAAAAGATGACGAAGAAAGTCATTGCGGTATGCTGAAACTGATTTCAGTGTAGTAGTATTATTGACGTTTTCTGTAATGCTTCCAGTATTTCCAGCGAGGAAATCAGATCTGAACTTGCTAAATACCATTACCGCTTCAGCAGAAATCGGACCAGCTTCACTCAAATACGGCAATTCTTTGTCAAAACATCCACTAAGAATAGAGAATTAAACGCAGAAAAACTTGGTACAATATGGCATCAAGAAGATGCGCCACACAATAAATAATAAAACAATATAGATTAAAAGTTAAAAAATATAAGTTAGTGATAAGTATCCACATATATATATTTATAAGTGTGTGTATGTTGGTCTCTCTTTCTGCTTGCTCGCTTAGTCTGTGACCATTTCACTTGTATGAACCTGTCTCCTTTAACAATGTATATTCCCCTTATTTTATATATAATATGAGTGTTTGTTGACAGTCCGTTGCTTGGTGACATATATCCATATATGGTGGTTGTTGACATGTCTGCTATATTTTGCTATATATATATTTCGTTCTCACAATTTGTGTGACACTTATTTTTGGTGTGATACCACTTATTGCATTCTCCTTGTGTTTTGGAAAATAGAAGTATCATCGCAAACCTAGTGGTCTTCTGATTTCCGCCTTCTTGCGTCAGGACTATTAGTTTCTCGACCAGTCCATAACAATAATTTAGCGACGAGTACATAACAGTTAGAGAACGGATAAAGAACTTCATCTGGAAGGAAAAGTCATACTTAACAAGTTCAAACAGTATTCGTCAACTATTATCTGGAAGAGAAGAAGAAATTGCAGCACGTTCGCTATTCATTACAATTCTTGGTTATATCCAATAACGTTACGAGCCACCGATTCGAGCTATCTTGCGGACTTCAGCGAGGGAGAAGTGACGCACCAACCGACGCTAATCTAGCACAAATATCCTTCATCCCACGACGCCACATCATGGACTGACCACCTCTCCGCCTTTTCCATCCCGTCCCAGGGCTAGTGAACAAAGACTTGTACGGAAGCCTCTGGGATAACATTCGCAGCACATGTCCAAGCCACCGGAGCCGGTGTTTCCAGATGACAACACTCAACGAATGTTGATCTCCCTGTGTTCAAACACACGCCGCCGAACCTCAGAATTACTCACACGATGATGCCATCATTTAAATGTAACCTCGGCAGTTAAAATAATTTACTTAAGTGTTGGTTTGCAGGGATTTGGTTGGTTACAGGATTTCATCACGAGCTGACATCGGTTAGAGAACCATTGGAAAACCTGGGAGTACTGGACAGCTGTTTCGTCCTAGTTTGGGACTCTTAACCAACACTTAAATATCGATGAGATGCTCACTAGCGACTTACCCTATTCACGTAGGTAGTTACCTGGGGTTCTAGTGAGAAGTCGTGACCAGTAGGGTGCAGCAGGTCGGGTGTGAGGACAAACACTCGCCGAAGACATTGGCTAGTGGTTGCGCTTTATCATGTATCCATGTTACTCCATACTCTTTCAACTCCTCTTCACACGATCTCCGCCATGTCACCCTTGCACTGACGTCCCACTTCCCGCTTCTCTTTCGGCCTGGTTCCACTCGAGCAATGGCCTGACGCGCGCGATGTCACCAACCGGCCTCCTCACTCAGCGAGTGTCCAATCCATCTCCACTTTCTCCTGCATATTTGTTGGTTGACGATTGCTTCTTGTTTTGTTTGTTCCCATAGTTTCTTGTTGGTGATTCTTTCCGGCCCGACTATCTGATCTTCAGTATAGATCCAGCGAAGACAGTTGTTGATAAAGGTCTGCAACAGGCTGTGACCAGCCCGCCAAGTTTCTGATCCGTATAGAACAAGTGACTTGACGTTTGCATTGAAAATCCAACCGAATTCTGTTGTTGATGCTGGCTGAGTGACGAAGATTTCCAGATTCGTTTCAGGTTGATGAATGTGTATCTCGCCTTTCCGATTCTCGCTCGATTTGACATCCTCGTCCGTTCCGACTGCTTGCAGTTGAGATAATGCTCCCTAGATAAGTGAAGTGAATGAAGTAACATCTTTCAAATCCCTCCCGTTGATGGTGATTGGTGCTGGATGTTGCTGCTGTTGTTTTGATAACCTCCGTCTTGTCTATGTTCACCTGGAATCCTGTCTTTGCTACTTCTTCTGTTAAAGTGCTTCTATTTTATCACATGCTATATTTCATCAGATATCATATTATATTACCTAGTAAATACAGAACTATATTAAAAAGTCCAAGTGCTGAATTAACTGCACACACAGATAAGGAGCACAAAGAAAAAAAAAGCGAAAACTTACACGCCTCTGTTTTCCCAAGAGAAACGTTGGACATTATTTGATGATGACATTAATGGTAAAATAGTTTTAAGATCTTTATTAGCCAGTAAAGTGTTGTCTCTTGAAATGCGTCTAGAGTAATGCTCAAAAGATGGATAGAATATTTCGTTGACTAATAGCTGACCGATAGTTGGAGAAAATTGTGAAAAAAGTCGATAGACAATATCTTTAATATTTTCACTATGTAATAGTGGTCGATTATCTGCTTTGGAACATGTCTCACTATAACCTTCATCTTCTTCGTCCATTCTAGACTAGATAGATCGATAGATAAATCAATAAAGACAATTAACAACTTACCAAAGGATGAGTGTAGTCTCCAAATTCCCTGAAAAGTTAAAAAAAAAGCCAAAACCAACAGTAAGATTATAGGAAAATTCAGTGAGTTTTGATATTTACATAAATATGAAAATCAATTTTATTGAAAATCAACTCTCACACAGATCACATACTCAATTACAAGAACAACAAAAATCCAATAACACACAAAAGGAGTTGTATACAACACTATGTTGTATTGCAGCACTCCCAACTTAAGAAAAATTGCAGAATCAATATCTCATGGATGTCTTTCAAAAGAATGGATATCCACAGGATTTCATCGGAAGACATATACCCCCAAGCCAACCACCACCTATGAAATCAAAGGCCTCCAAGGAAAGCACAAAGAAAATCGCCCCACCATAAGTAAAAGATATCTCAGAAATCACTGCAATACTCTTCAAACTTTTAGGAATTGATGTCGGCCTCCAAAGCCTCAGGATGGTCGGGGGTGGGTGCCTTGCGCCGCGGGTTGGCCACCCCTCCGCACACCTCTTGAAATGCTCTCATATGACTGGGCGTCTTACATAGCCTCTCCTGAGGAAGTCCTACTCACTGCCTTCACGTGGCGGAGGTGTTTCTCACCAAAGTGAGAGGGCAAAAGCGGATGCCCGGCGCTCTTCACCGGGTTGACTGTCCATTGGATGACAGTCTAGGGGAGATGGCTAAACCCTGATTCCAAACCTCCAACGACTGGCGTATGAAGCTCACTGGAGCTCACCGGCAGACGTATGGACAAAGGGCTTGTTGGATGTCCTGGATGTCTGGCCCCATTCAAAAAGGCGTATGAACCGAACTCCGGTCACCGGCTGCCAATGGATAGTGGACTCCTTACTCCACTCCTACTGCCTTGTAGGTCACACTTGGCTGTGTAAAGGCTAGAGCTGCACTCTCAAACAAAAGGCCGAGCGATGCTGGGGACATCACTCGTACCAAATTCCCATGAAACTTCATGAACTCTCTTACAAACAACTCTCACCATGCTACGGCGTTCCCGGTAAGCGACGCGCCCTGTGCTCACCCGGTGGCCAGTGTGAAAAGTAAGCCAGCTGGGAAATTAACACTTAGAAACCAACTATTTGTTGGCTGCTGGAATGTTAGGACGCTGTTGGATCCTGGTAGCCAGTCTATCACCATGCGTTCTTTATACGACTACAAGGTGGACATAGCGTGTCTATCTGAAGTGAGGTTACCCGATCATGGCTCCCGCCGAATAGCCGTACCTGGAACAGATTCTTCATTCTGGTTGCTTCATAGTGGACCCCAGAATAATTCGGGACAACATGGGGTAGCATTTGCTCTCAGTAACAAAGCCAATAATGCCCTAATATCATTCGAACCGGTCAACTCCAGAGTTGCAATCGCTAGGTTCAAGGGTTCCCCGCTCGACATTTCTGTTCTCGCTGTCTATGCCCCAACCCTCGACTCTGATGAAAGTATCAAAGACGAATTTTATGACAATCTTCAAGAGGCAATCAACAAAATCCCAAAGCGTGACGTTCTCATAGTAGCCGGCGATTGGAACGCCCGCACTGGCCCTTCAGACGACGCGACAAAACATATACTAGGCAAACACGGTCTCGATCAGCGCTGCCGTAATGGTGATAGACTTTTAGCTTTTTCTGATTACAATCGATTATATATCACCAACACTCGATTTCAACACCCTAGAAAACATCTTCTCACCTGGTATTCGAACGACGGTCGCACTGCACATCAGATCGACTACATCCTAGTGCGCTCACGCTGGATCTCCTCGGTGGAAGACTGTCGATCCTATCGTGGCGCAGAGGCCGGAAATAAAGGGGGATCAGACCATACTCTAGTTAGGGCGAAATTCAAACTTCGTTTAACAACACGCCAGAAGGCGCGACCTCCGAAGCGTATCAATGTTGCCCCGCTTCAATGTTCGACAAAGCGACAAGCCTTGTCCAAACAAATCCAGGCCGAACTAAGCGCCGCAGATGAACCAACATCCACATCTTCTAATACACCTGAGACACGATGGAATCATTTCAAAGAAGTAGTCTCTAAAGCTTCAATGTCGCATTTGGGTACCACATCCAAGAAGCAGAAAGACTGGATTTCAGAGCACACCATGCATCTATCCTCGCAAGCCAGAGACGCTCGCCTAGCAAAGTCTCCAGTTTATCGCTCCCTCAGGCGCAAAGCTACACAGTCTGCTAGGAATGACAGAAATCGCTATTGGTCTAACGTGGCGACTAACATGGAAGCAGCATCAAATGTAGGCGATTTCGGAAAACTTTATCGCCTCATACGCCTATCATCTGGCAAACGCCTTAACAGTCATGCTGTGTTACGCACAGCATCAGGAGAAATTATTTCGGACACCAATGGTAAGATGGAACGATGGGCCGAACATTTCAAGCAGCTACTCAATCGCAACGCTGGTCAACCGTCTCATCGACCGATACGACACTTACCAACACCCTACGTAGTTGACTGCGATCCACCCACTCCAACCGAAATAGCTAAAACAATTAACAGACTCAGAAACAAAAAAGCTCCGGGCGAAGATGGTCTACCTCCAGAAATATACAAGGCCTGCACTCCAGCGCTAATCGATTCGCTGCACTCGCTGTTCTGCTCAATTTGGGAGTCCGAAACCATTCCTTCCGATTGGAGCACCTCAGTTCTGCTACCGTTCCACAAAAAGGGAGACAGGTCAATATGCGAGAACTACCGAGGCATAAGTCTGATTGATATCGCTGCTAAGGTTTTTGTTTCCATTCTCCTGAACCGCTTCGCGGCCGAACGCCACGTGCGAACAAGGCCAAATCAAGCCGGATTTCGACCTGGAAGAGGCTGTGTTGATCAATTATTCACACTGCGAAGAATTTTGGAACACAGGGACAAATTCCAACAGCCGACGGTTGCTTGCTTCATCGACTTCCAAGCGGCATTCGACTCAGTTGATCGAGGAGCACTCTGGTATCTAATGGAGCTCGACGGAGTTCCGACCAAGCTAATCAACCTGCTCAGGTCATACTACTCCAACACCAAAGCTCGAGTCCGAGTGAACGGTGAAGAGTCTCGCACTTTTGAGGTAACCAGCGGTGTCCGGCAAGGTTGTCCAGCATCCCCCATCCTGTTCAATTTCACAATTGATTGGATTTTGCGGCACGCCCTAACCGAGCACCACGGCGTCCAACTTTCGCCCGATATTCACATAACCGACCTCGAATTCGCCGACGACGTCGTGTTATTAGCTGAAAACTTCCCCGATATGCAACAGGCGCTCGACCAGATAAACCACCTCGCGCCTACTATCGGTTTGAAAATTAACACTTCCAAAACCAAAATGTTTTCGAACACATCCACCAGCAATGATGAAATCTTATCCCTGAATGGAGCACCTATTGAAATTGTGCCATCCTTCAGATATCTGGGATCCATAATGCTCCCCAACGGCCAAGCGAAAAACGAAGTGAATGCGCGAATCTCCAACGCCCGGAATGCGTTTCTACAGCTGAGGAGCGTTCTATGGAGCAAGAGAGAAATCAGTCTCAGGACTAAAATTCGGGTCTACCAAGCCTCCATACGACCCGTTCTCCTGTATGGCTGTGAAACCTGGCCTCTTCGCGCGGAAGATTTACGCAGACTCGAGGTAGTAGACCATTGGTGCCTCAGGTACATTCTGCATGTTCGTTGGCAGGACAAACTCTCCAACGAAGAAGTGCGTCGTCGTTGCTACAACATCAACCAAATTCCAGTACTGGTCCAACAACGCCGCCTTCGGTGGTTTGGCCATGTTCTGCGCCGACCAGATGACGATCTGGTCAAATCAGTTCTAAATCCCTCGCCATTTCCATCTTGGCGATGTCGCAGGGGTGGACAGCTGAAGACATGGCTTGGTACAGTCAAGGCTGATATGGAGTGCCTGGGGCTACAAACCGTCTACGGACTCCGTCTGTGGAACAAGAATTGGATAACCCTGTCACAAAACCTTGCATCAGATCGCCGCGCCTGGGCAGCGATGATTCGAGACGTTCATGAAGCCGGCTCATCCTCCCGTAGGAGATAGCCGAAGTAAAGTAAAGTAAGTAAGTAAATTGATGTCGCACGCAAACCAACAAAATCACTTCACTCAGCTGGGTGAGTCTGTGTCAACCAAAAGACTCAACAACGAAAGAAGATAAAACCAACATCATCCACAAAATAAATTGTAACAACTGCGAAAAACACTACATTGGCCAAAGTGGACGTCCTCTTCGTCTTCGTATCCATGATCGTAAGCTAGCAGCCAAAAAACATGACATCCACTCCCTCATATCACTCGCTGCATACAGACAACCACAGATATCAGTTCAACTCGGACAACGTTCAGACATTAGATGAAGAAAACACCAAGAACGCTACAGAATTTTCAGAAGCCTGGTATTCCAGTGAATCGTCATTCAACAGACACATCGAGATAGACAAAATTTATGAACTGATAAGAAAGAAACCTTACACACAAAGGGTTAAAGTTCAAGTCAAAGAAACAATCAGTACCAATACAAGTAGCTTAGAAGGTGTGGAAACACACGAAAACAACCAATCACGTCCAATTTCACTCACCAGGAGAGACGATTAATAAGCTCGTGAAGAAATCTAAAAGCTCACTTCGAATTGAAGTAGTATGCGCTGAAAATGTTGCCTACTAGGGCACTGAAAGCTTCGCAAATAAACCATCCAGCTCAAGAACACCAGAGCTACAAATCTTGTCCATTATATCTAATTTGTAATTTACATAATTTGAGGTGAGATTGAAGCTACCAAGTATGATGTTTACAAAGAAATTTTTAAAAAATGATTTTTCCATAAATGTTTCTTTTTCCGCCTAAATTCTTACTTTGTAGCTAAAAAAACGTGTTAACTGAGTGGCACTATGGTTACGCATAAAGGCTAAGGTTATAATGAATTAGTTTTAAAAGTTCAACTATAATCGAGCTACTGAATTTAAACTGCAGAGGTTAGTATATGACTGTCATATGAATTCAATGTAGTTTAACAACTATGCGATCGTACAACACCTTGTGAAACAAATGCGCTGCACGGAGGTGCTTCTATTAAGTGTGTGTAACTACAGCTATACAGTCAACACAGGTATATATGAACATACAGAAACTACAAGTAAAATGAAGTAATATACGGTCTTGCTGCATGATGTTCGAAATATTACAGAGATGAAGTTGGCTGGCTCAGTGACTGACTTTCAACACAGAACTTTGCACAGAAGTGTAGCACTTAAAGCTGTTACACTTCATGTAGCCCACAAAGGTAAAGGAAAGAAATTAAAAGCTATAATAAGGAGAATGTACAAGAGAATGACAAAATAGGAACGTGGAAGGGCGTTTCAAGTTTAAATGAACCTGAGATTACAGACACTGACTGCATTTGAGTCATCAAGAACGATTTAAAGCCATATGACCAAAAGTTTCCAGAAATTGATCCTTGGCATCCTGAGGTCCCCAACTAGGCAGTCTACACATCCCTGTGGTTCGCGTGAACTGCATTTCACCGCAGCAGAAACAAAGGTTCAACATAAGGTGTAATGGTGTGTGTGTGTGTGTATTATATAGCACAAAATTTCCGTCACCACCCTTCTTTTTACTTAATAAACTGCCACGATAAATGAATGTTGTAAGTAATTCGAACGGTTCACTGAAAATGACGCATACGAGTTCACACTGGTCAATTTTGAAAAAAAAATGCTTTACGCTTAAAAGTTGCCGGATGCACCATACGCATACTGGTTGCTAAATGATTCATTACAACACATATGATTTGTTAGAGAATTTCATCATGAGTTAAGATTGGTTAAAGAACTAATCAAAAACCTAGGAGTACTGAACACCTGTTTCGCCCTAGTTTGGAACTTTTCGGCAGTACGCACCCATCAACAGGGTTCGAACTCAGGACCGTCTGGTTACAAGGCGAGCTCGTAGACCAGTAGGCCACTGGGACCCTATCCAGTATACAGTACATGAATTCCAACTTCTGCCAATCCACGATCTGGCGCGACCACTAGCCAATACCATCGGCGAGTAAGCCGAGTTGATACCTTTCTTCTTGTTCCATCCTGCTTGACCTTTCAACTGACACATTAATCACTACCTCTCAAAAGATGTCATTCGATACGCTGCTTATATTTATTCACAAACAGTACACGTCACAGATCCAAACAATCAAATTACTGACCTGCCTAAGACAACCAATTCGCCAGATAACATGACTAAAAATTAACATACGTAACTCTATGGTATAATGACAGTTCACGTAAGTATTATAAAAAAAAGTTGCAGCCTCACCTGTCTTCACTGAAATTAAATTAACTATTAGATGTAATTGGTGAATGGTGACTAGCAGTGGAATCCAGGACAACGCGCATTTCGTCCTATTTGGGACTCGTCATCTGGATATACCTGCATTCCCCAGTGAGTGATGATGTTCCCACTGAGGCTCGAACCCAGTACCCATAGTTTCAAACGCCAAGGCGTTATCCACTAGACCACTTAGGCCGCGAGAGCAACGGGTCATATTAATTATTTGATTGAATTTTAGATTTTCCCGTCGATTGACTGGACTGAAGTGGTCGGTGTCATGTTGACATGTCGGCTTTTTGTGCAGATGCTTCGAAGATGTCTGGGCATGTAATTAGAATTTAATTGGTGGACTATGGGCACTGGTTTCGACTCTCGGTGGGAACAACATCAGTTACTGGGGGTGCAGGTACATCCAGCTGACGAGTCCCAAACAGGACGAAATGCGCGTTGTCCTGGATTCCACTGCTAGTCACCATCCACCAAGTAAATTCAAATTACATGGCCAGACATCGTTGAAGCATCTGCACAAGAAGCCGACATGCCGACCTGAAACCGAGCACTTTGGTCCAATCAATCAACGGGAAAATCTAAAATTCAGTTAAATAACTATAAAATGGCCAATTTTAATTAGAATCTCAAAGTTCGAAAGGAACCTGAGTGGTATATCATGAGTAGTTGGGTTAAAATTTGAAACTAGCCAGACAGAAGTAAATGCCATAGTAAATGAACGCAGAGATTTCCTATTAATCGATGTTAAGGTATATAGTGCTAATCATCAGACAGATACAGTTCATTTCTAATCCCACATACTTGGCTCCCATAATTCTCATAATACATGAAGAGTCCTAGTGATACAGCTGACTTAATCACAGCAGTCGCTTTAAATTGCACCTGGATTACTATCTGTAGAAAAATAGGTAAAGATGACCACAACTTCTTTTTTTTTTAAAACAATCGCCTAAAAGACAGCTATGCGATGAGTCATCTTACCTGAGTAAAATAAACAATAACAATCGTTTACCCTAGCTGAAGCATATGTTCAAACCCCAAAATTCACCAGTTGACTCAAAAAGGTTAAAGAAAATAAAAGTTTTCAACAAGCTGCTTATTAAACTAAGGGTTAAGTGGGGCATAGTAGCACACCCAAATATCATTTCCAAATCCATTCATTCATAATAACACTTGTTGGAAATAGAGATTTGCAACTCAGGCGTGTGATTTTGAATTACTTGTGTTCTCTGAATTGGTTAATTTAATTGCGAGGCTTTCGATGTTCTTCTAAACAACCACAACAACTACAGTAGTAACAAGCCTGTTATCCACGAAAAAAGCTATGTGCTAAAACTGTTTAAAAGAGTTCAAACTCATTGGAGCACTACTCCGATGCTGAGGAGAATGGAGGAAAAAGATACCTACTGTCTCCAAAAAGAATGCATATCCTCACAATTTCATCAAAAAGTATTTAAAGTCGAGTCACAACACCAACAAGAAACCATCAAAGACTACAGGAAGATTTATCCTACCATATATAAAAAAAATACCACTGAAATAACGGTTTGAAATCGACATATCACACAAGCCAATCCAATCACTTCGTTCGATATTGTGCAAACCAGAAGGTACAACACAAAAAGAAGATAAAATTAATACCATTTACAAAATAAATTCTAAGAAATATAATAAACATTACATCGGTCAAAGTGGGCGTTTCTTTCGAATCCTCATCCAAGAACACAAATTAGTTGTTAAAAGGCATAATATACATTCTTTTATATCCATGCATGTAGACACTTACAGATACCAATTTGATGATTGGGAGAATGTAAAAATTTTAAATAAAAGAAATGCCTAAAACTTTATGAGATTTATAGAAGCCCGGTACTCAAGTGAATCAGTGATTAACAAACTTATTAATAAAGACCAAATTTACCAGCTTATAAAAAGTAAATCACACGACAAGAAAGTTGAAATTCCAAGTCAATAAAAATGACCAATAGAAACGTCAACCAACAACCAGTCACAGTAATGGTTACCACGAAATACAAGAATATCATTCATGGAGAATCCAAATAAGTTCACTCCATATTAAAACCTTCGCTGAAGATATTGTCTAGAAGGACAACGAAAGCTCTGCAATTACAACAACCACCTCAGAGGACACAACTAATACAAAAACACCTGTTAGTGTTTGTAATACGCATAACAAGGAAGTTGGATATACCGAGACTCTGAATTTTGGTTTACAGGGCAGGAATTTTAGAATTTTAGAGGCTCAAGAAATTAGACCCCAATGTATTTCATTTGCAACATCTTGCCGCTGTCCTGTCGCTATGCGAGACTTACAATATCAGTTTCAATTATTTCTGATTACGTTAGACAAGTAATTTGTGCTAAATGACAACAAAACCTAAGTGGAACCGAATCTTTATTGATAACAGGTGAATACAAAGCAGACTATCCCAAACTAAGGCAATTTACTTACACCAAAGGTTTATAACATGCTTTAACTCTATTTCTACATTTATCAAGTAACTATCAGTACAATAACCATATATATATATATATATATATATATATATATGCATTTCACATGCATATCGCATGAGAGCCAGGGGTACTGACTAAGCTTATGAGGCACGTCACCAACTGCACCTCTTAAAATTTAAAGAGTCGCAACAGACACCAGTCATTAAAGTTCTTGAACAACTTTTCAGGACGTCAATGTGTAATTTTAAAATATTTACTCTGATGAACAACCCCATACAACAGATGCTATATGGAGATACAATTTAGTAAATGTATGGTTGACTAAAAATTGTAAATAACTACAGTAAATACAATAAGTATGAAAACTGAACTAAAGTTGCTTACCGATAAGTTGTTGGAAAATTTCGAAATGCAAGAGTGTTAGATTTCGTAAAATCAAAATGCCTGGGGATTATACTGAACATACTATTTGAAAATGAAGCCATCTGGGTAAACTGTGATAAACTTCCTATTTGATCAGGCCGGTTGAATAATGCTGAACTTTTGCACAGCAAAGAGTAAGCCTAAAGTGGGAATCACGTTGAACCAGTCACATTAAATTACGCTTGCTGATGATGAATTTCGACGTGTCACAGAGGAAAGCATACCGGTATAATCTGGATCAGTGAAACTGAAAGAAGTTAGAAAGAGAGTTATCATTTACCTAGCAAGACGACTATAAGCAACTGAAGATTTAGCATTTGAACCAGTCTAAACATGTTTTTTCGGTAATTGTATAACTACCTCAAACTGCCCATATATCTCTAAATCACTAGAACCCTCATGTACTGGGTTAGCGATGAGAAACAGAAACACAAGCTTCCGTAAGAGCTCTAAATTCTGTTAGTGTTGATGATTGCCATACCTGCATCCCTTGAAACACTGTTGATTAATACATCTAACCTCCCAGCTCTCCTATCTCTTCCCGTCTTCTTAAGCTCAGAAACAACAATTTCATGAAGTTTTTCATAAAGATCAATTCCAGGGTGGACAACCGCTCCATTAGAATATCTAAAAAGTGTATGTTAAAAAGCAAAAACAAACTTGTGAGGGCCTTTAAGAAAAACGAAAGCAAGATCATACGTTTGGATCTTCAACCGCTTCCTTATTTTATGGACATTTAAATTTCGATAGTTAAATTTCAAAGTTGACTTGGAAATGAGTCGGTCAATGAATTCAAACAGTGACAAATCAGTATCTCCAGACATAAGGCTCGATTATACGGTATATGAAAGGGCGACTTTATAGCATGATCTAAAACCCTCAAGCACAAGTGAGCTCCAATTGGACTAATGTAATATAGGAGAATCTCTGAAAAAATGACCTTGAGTTCGTGTCATCCGCCCCTCGAATCCAATATCCAATATCGTTTTTGCGAGCTAGCATAAACCAATTCGGTTTCTTTGTGCCCGCTTCTTGACTGTAAGGTATAGCTTCCTGATCTTCGGTAAACTTCTGTGTAGCTCGTCCCGCCACTCGACTGTCGTAGCTTTGGTTGATTCCAAAGGGAGTAGTGCTGGGATTAATTATATGTGGTTTGTAGTATGAGGTGTGTTAAGACTGTTACTACTGTGAATGGAGTTGATCCTTTCGCCAGTTAGTCCTCCGGTATCGTCGACAAGAGAAAAGAGATAGTAATAATGATAATGCTAATAATAGATATTAGTGAAGTTATTCAGACTGAGACAGAAACGGAAATAGTAAAGCGTAACAACGATCAGCTGATTAAGTTTGAAGAATAATATATACAAATATATATGTATATATATCGGTAATAATAACAATAGTAAAAATTATAATATTAATAAGTTGTCAGGAGAGCAAGACGGGAGAGAATGCAAAGAATTAAAACGACGAGTTTAATTGTCTACCCATGAATGGTGTATGCGATTTTAAGGGGATAGGCCATTTTGGTGCAATCCTCGTGTCGCTGCATGCTTGTCCAGCCTTCGCTTAAAGGCGTCCAAAGACGGTGTCATAGCTACATCTGCCGGTAAGGAATTCCAGGGGCGGCGAACACGCAGTGAAAAGAAGTGGGAGCACACCTGGGTCCTTGCCCTCTGGTGAGCTATCCTTCTGGGATATCCACGTGGGAGCCTATACCTATTCAATGGCAGAACACCTTTGTTTGGGTGATTCTGGTAATTTGCCATTTTGTAGACAGTAATTAAATCCCCCTAAGCCGACAGTAGCTAAGTGTGAACAGGCCTAATTTCTTCAACCTTTCATCATATGGTTTGTTTCGGAGACCAACCACTCCTTTTGTTGCCCGTCGTTGGACTCTTTCCAAGAGGTTGGCGTCTCTTCTCAGCATTGGGGGTGCAATAATATTGTGCACCTCAAGGTGTGGCCTGACGTGTTTTGTACAACCTTAGAAAGAGCTCAGGAGTGAGTGCACTCAACTGTCTATACGTAAAATGTATGACCGCATATGCCCTCGCTACATCCCCAGTGTAATTTACGCTTGTGTCCATTTTTCCGTTAGAACTAGACCGCTTCTCGAATGCATTTTCAGATTTATATTTATTGGAGATAGAAGGCTTGGAGCCAATGCTAACCCTTTTCTAGCAAATCCCTTCTTGAATGAATCAGCTGAGGTTGCAGACACCCCTTTTTATCGGAGTCGGTTCCAGAAGTTTATGATTCTGAGAGAACCAGTACTCCACAGCAGTATGGTTTCTCCTTGGCTTTAGAACTCTCCTGCTACATCCTCTAAGTCGATCACGACTTATGGGACTGTCAACGCTTTTTGTCGATGAGTCACAAAGAGAGACTAGCAGTGTCAATGCGGCATAAAGTGTGCTTCAACTGTTTGAAATGTAATCACCGAGCTGACACTTGTCGTGCAGCAAGAGGTTGCGATATAGTAGGATGCACTAGACGTCATCACAAACTTCTACACAATGAAGATAATTCAGCATGCAAGACTGTCAACTACTCTAGCACGGAATCCGGAACTTCCTTTTTAGGATATGTGCCGATTCGTATCTTAGGTCCTAAAGGATTTCTAGATACCTATGCCTTTCTTGACAATGGTTCAGATGCTACACTATTGCTGAGTCATGTTGCCGCCAAATAGGACTGGAAGGGGTTAATACATTGATGCAGGTAACATCTTTCTGTGGAACTACTTCTCAGAATTCATCTAAGGTTGATTTCGAAGTTGAATCCTTAACGGGAGATTACAAGACGAGGGTCAAGAGTGCCTACACCGTGGAAAGCTTACCTGTAAAGAGACCTAAGACTCCTTCAAACGAACAGGTGAAAAAATGGCCTCACCTGGCAGAAATTCCCTTTCTAGACGTCGAATGTAAACAGGTCAGTCTACTAATTGGGACTAATGTACCTGAAGCACACTGGGTGCTGGAGCAGCGTATAGGGAAATCCAACCAACCGTTTGCATCTTTGTCAGTTTTTGGTTGGTATTTATTGGGTTCAGGAGACGAATATAAAGAAGCAACCTCTATCTTCTGCTTAGAGGAAAGTGAATCAGTAGAGAACAAGCCTTTGCGAATGATTGAAGCTGAATTTCAGGACAAGCACTCATGCGAAAGGTTCAGTTCTGAAATAGATAAAGGGGTTCTGAAGGCAACCAATAGGGAGATAAGATTGCGGAACGGACATTATGAAGTTCCATTGACTTGGAAAGAGGACTGGCGTAGATTACCGCCTAATAAGTTTGAGGCAGAACGCAGGCTGGACAGTCTTCAGAAGAGACTAAAAAAGGACGAAAGCCTATTGAAGTCCTACAATCAAATACTAACAGACCATGAGTTGAAGGGTTATATTAGTCGCGTTCCTGACGACTTCTCCAAGAAACGTAGAGTTATCCCTCACCACCCAGTTATGAATCCCCGCAAGCCTGGTAAAATTAGAGTGGTTTTCGATTGTGCCTTTAAATGTAAGGGAATATCCTTGAACGATTGTCCGTATTCGGGACCTGATCTGATGAATGACTTGGCTGGGGTACTATTGAGATTTAAAAAACATCGGATAGCCTTGTCAGCAGATATTGAGGAGATGTTTCTTCAGGTTCACTTACCTGTCAAGGATAAAAGTGCCTTTAGTTTCTTATGGTATTCTGAGGGTAGACTGGACTTACCACCGAGCCTGTATGAATTAAACGTACATCCCTTCGGTGCTACCTCATCACCTTTTTGTGCAGCCTATGCTTTAAAACGAGGCACAAGACGATGGAAACAAGGGCAACTCCTCGCTGATACGTTTTGGAGACGGTGGAAGCGGGAGTACTTGACGACCTTACAATCGCGTTCGACGACATCGAAACTTACAAGTGGGAGACCTAGTACTAGTGGCTGCGGAGCCTTCACCTCACAATCGTTGGTCAATGGGAATAATTACAGGTGTTACGGCAAGCTGTGATGGGTATATCAGAAAAGTGGATATCAAGACACCGAGGGGTATAGTCAACCGAGATGTGCGTAAGGTTTGCCTATTAGAAGGTATTGAGGAGAGATAAGCACTTTGTAGGATATATAGCTGGATAGTGGATGCAGATGTGGCGAGAGTAAATTGTACCATTTCTGTGTCTTACTAGCAGGTAGAGTAGGGAAAACCAGGCTGGTTTTGAGGGGGCGGTGTTAATTCCTTTCCTACCTGTTCATTCTCAATCTTTCCGTTGTTCGACATTATACTACTTGCCATTAGTAAGTAGTAGGATTTTTATATGTTAATTTATAACAATGACATTTGCTTACAACTGCAGTTAAATTACTTGTTCTATTATCATTCTATTAATGTATAGTTCTTATTTTTCTTCTCCTTAAACATTATTTGCTGCATTTACCCTATAGTGTATGCTTTACTATTGAAAGTTGTTTGTTCATATTTGTTTATTCTTTGCTTGGCATTCGCGGGCCGTTTGAACCGACGCGTGGATCGAACTTGACACAGCATTGCTGTTTTTACTTATTGACTGCACAGTGGTTGTGCATTTGACGGCATTTAGCCACAGACACCTCACATTTTGTTTTTTTTTTTTTTTTTTTTTTTTTTTTTTTTTTTTAGTACCGTATTTCAGGATATCCTGTATTTTGGACTTTACGCGTCACTCTACGTGTGGTTAAATCTATAGTTTGGATTATCGTTTCGGATTTCTTTCGGGAGAAATTCACAACGGTAAAGTGGATATTTGTGATACTGATCATGATAGTGTGCACTTTTGCCTTTGGTTGATCATCATGAGATGAACGGAATGCCTACTACTACTGAGTTGAACAAAGGTTATGTACAACTTGAACATGAAGTAGAATTAAAGGTAGATGCAGTTGCAGAAGGTATGGATATTAGTGAGACTGTAAGTGTAAATGATCTGCGAGTAGCCCGCCTATCAACAGATATTAAGGCTCAACAGTCGATAATCATAAAAGATAGCAGTGGTGATAATCCTACAGTTAGACAAACTTCTAAAGGTTTAACAGCGACAGCATCTGATATACCGCTAAGTTCAAAATCTGGCATCACTCAGTCGTCGTTGGTGTTCTCATTCCTAGTCACAGAGTCGTCCATGAACTCAAGTGTCTTGTGCTATGAGCATGCTAGTATCGGTGCATTTAAAAAGACGAAAGTTATTGGTCAGTTTATTGAGGATAAGCCAAGTGTGTACGAGAGGGTAATTGTTAAACTCGCTTGCACGAATAAAGGTGTTTCAAGTTTCAAATTACTAATTGAATGTTATTAACTTCGGTGTAAATTACTCTGTGCCTACGCTTGGTTGGTCAGATACGTCGTGTGCTTGTTATTCATCTACATTCTACGATACAATGTCATGGGCGTGTCACCGTTCATAGTTGAGGATATAGATGACAGAATGAGGTCAGCAAATGAACTCTGCGATGATTTTCCAGCGTACGGCGTCAACCTGAGGAGGGTTGTAGGCGGACCGCTGCAAGTTCCACGATTCTTCAAGGTTAGTACGTCGAAGTGCAGTACAACGTGCTTAGAGTGTTATTTTGTACATATGTTCATGTTGTATGTACTGAACTGGTATCATCTCTCATCTATCTGTTGATAATTTTGTTTGTGAACGGACGTTTTTCCGCTTGTATCATCAACCTGAGAAGGAATGTAGGCGTACTGCTGTAAGTCCTACAGTTCTTCAAGGGTAGTTTGTCATGTCAGAATCCACAACATTTGATGTATTGATTGTACATATGTTTGTGTTAAATAATTGTGTGGGTTCCAATTATTGTAATTGTTGGTTAGTCTTCTTTGTGTCCGGACATTCTTCAACCTACAATCGTCAACGTGAGAAGAGTTGCAGGCGTACTGGTGTAATTCCTGCGATTCTTCAAAGGAATTCCGTGAAGACATCATCTGCTAGGTTA